CTCTCTCTCTCTCTCTCTCTCTCTCTCTCTCTCTCTCTCTCTCTATCTATCTATCCAAAAACTGAAATTAAATTGAAGTTTGCCATCTAAATGGATATACTGTGCAGATTTGTACGCCAACCTACTTTGAGCACAAAAGCAGAATGGACTGATGGTAATTTCAAAATGAAAATGCATGTCATTCGTGTCTAGAGAGAGACGGAGAAGTGGATGGAGAACAACAGAGAGAGAGCAGAGGGAGGGTCTCAGGGTGTTTGCCAATTTGGAAAAGTTTGAGCAAGGGGGGGGGGAATGTCTATTATTCTATGCATGATTTTTTTTTTCGAAAAATAAAGTATTTTAGTATTTTTTATTTTCAATAGAAAAAGATTTTCATTTTGGGTCTTGAGGTACGTTCGTTGGCCTACTGAAACAACTCGAAAGTATATCAAAGTTTGGAAGTATTCATTCTGTTTCAACTCATTGCATCAAGTACATAAAAGCAATCGAATAAATCTTTCAAATGAATACGTGTGTGTGTGTGTTGTGAGTGTGTGCATGTGTGTGTGTGTGTCTATCTGTGTATGTGTGTGTGTGTGGTGTATGTTCGAAAACAATAATTTTACAAATATAAATCAAGCTTTTACTAATTTCTTTTTCAGAAGATATGCAGACGGTTTCAACTGAAAGAGAGAACACAAAATGGAGAATATGCTAATGAGCTTAGCTCGTAATTCAAACGTGACATTTTCATTTTATAACTTGTAAGCGAAGGGAACGGTTGTTGTTTAACAGGGAAAATTAAAAGTTTTTCATATTTCTCTCTCTCTCTCTCTGTTTCTCTTCCTCTTACTCTCTCCATCTCTCTTCGTACCAGTTCCCCCCCCCCCGCTTTATTCTCTCATTCTCTTCCTCTAAGGGATTCGCTGTTGTTCATTAATCTCAAGTTATTCCCATTATTAATAATAAAGATCTTTGTCCAATAGCATCAGAATCAGGAAAACAGAAACATCCGAAAGGCAATTGCAATAGATAACTCCTTTGTATAGAAAGGAGGAAGTTTTCAAGTAAAAAAAAAGTAGCGAATGAGTTGTGCTTGCTTGAATGAATGGAAGCATACATTCATCTTTCTATTACGTTAAGCTATAAAAAGAAAAATTGTAAGAAGAAAGTGAGGACAGAGAATGGAAACGAAAAAACGAAGTGAAAAGAAATCAAATAAGGAACGAGAAGCTGGAAGGAATGGACTTCGGCCATATACATATAAGATACATGGGGTATGCGTTGCAGGTTAATAGGTAAACGATATGGGAATGCTGACGATAAGCCGAAGTTGAGGTTGGGAGACAAATTGCCTTGTTAGTCATTAACATTCGACAGCTTCTCGATTTCTGTTGTGACAGAATGCTTGAAAGCTACGAATCATATTGCATTTTCCTGCTTCTCAATGTCACAAGCTTGACGGTTAGCCAATGAGAGAGGTTTGAGTGAGACAAAAAAAAGGAAGAAGCAGAAGAAGAAGATGAAGAGAGATATCAAAAAGATTCTGATGAATTGTTCGTAGATGAATTCGATGCTCATCTCACTTACTTCTTCTATCTTGCTTGAGATACAAAAAACTAAGTAATTGAACTCAATGAATGAAGACGAACTGCAGCACAAAGTTGGAAAACGATTACACTTAAGAACATTTCTCGTTGTTGAAATAAAGTTAAATTGAAAACCAAATGTAAACTGAAAGAATTGTAAAAGGCAGTTTAGTCTTATTAACGATGAGATGAATATCCTATATCTAACAATCCATTTCTAGTATAGAAACAATGAGAAAAGGAAGACAAACTGACGATTTCCATCTTCTTTGCCCTTTTTTAGCTCTCATACGAATGTTCTCATCTCTCTATCATTCTCTCTCTCTTTCACTCACTTGCTCAAGCGAGCCTTGCGGCTGTTTAGCTATGACGACCGAGGTCACAAAGGACACAACTCATGAGTTTCAAATTGTTCTTCCTAATGTTATGCAAATCATTACACTTTCTTTCCTCTTCTCTTTTTTTTCCCGGAACATTCAAGTGTGAAGATGACATGGCTGACAGGAACAAGAAAAAAAAAGGAAAAAAAAGGATTTTTTTCTTGAAAAGTTTCATGCACTTCAAAGTTGAGAAGCTGAAAGCGTCTGGACCATAATTACCAACAGAACAGAGTCATCGAGGTCTGACGCAAACGGAGAGAACATTACTTGGAAGAGCATCAGACCTGAACAACGACAGAATTGAGCAATTCTGCAGCAGACAAGTAAAAATTGAAGTGAATTATGTACGATAGAGTAAAAGATGTGTGTAAAAGCAAAATGAGAGTTAAAATTCCAAAAAAAAGACAATGCTAGAGAGAGTATGACAAAGCCAAAAAAGGAAAAAAAAAGATCAACCGCTATGTATGCGAATGCTTAAATGAAGAATTTTTTGTTTTTTTGTTTGCATCAGATGCACGTGGAGATTTTTTGAAACAGAGAATAGAGAGATAGATAGTGAGAGCGTATTCTAATTAGATAAAGTACATTATTTGAGAGCTTGCACGATGCTTATAATCTGAATAAGGAATCTATGAGCCATGCTAAAAAACGAAAAGGAAAAAAAATATATTTGTTGCCAAAAAAGAAAAGCATAATAGGCGAAACAAAACTGAAGAGAAAGAAAAAAGGTAAAGGCTCTCTTTTCATTCTTTATTCTACAAACTGCAAATAGGTAGTGAGAGAGAGAGGGAGGGAGAGAGAGGAACATAAAGAGAGAGAGAGATGGGGGAGGGAGAGAGTGACAGAAGAAAATAGAGAGAGAGAGAAAGATTTATATATAAAGAGAGGGAGGGAGTGAAAGTGGAACTTGTTGAATTTCTAGCTCAATAACTACTAACCAATAATCATTCAAAGCCAAAATGATGGCTTCATAGAGGGAGAGAGGGAGGGAGTGGGATGTCTCTCCATTTTTATTTCTCGTCTCATCCTTTACCCCCTGCTTCAATTCGTAGTCTCAATTTTCTTGGACATGCGTAGGTAGATTTGAGAAAACAATTTGATTTTAGTTAAATCATACAAGTCTGTCAGTCATTTTGCTACTAAATGAATAAGCTTGTAACAGAATTTCAACTCAAATAAAAGTCACTCCATCATGAGTTACAGCTTAAGCCTTTTTTGGTTTTCAAACGTTCTCGCTAAGTTGTATGCATGTATGTATGTGTGTGTGTGTGAGTTCATTTAATTCACTTTTCGGTCAAAAACTAAATGTGCTGCAGACGATGGAGAATATTCAGAAGAGGTAATAGCACGTGCGAGAAAACTCTTTCAAACTGTCACAAAAGAGAAAAACGGAGAGAGAGAGAGATAGGGATAGAGAGAGCGAAAAGAATGAAAGAAACATCAGGTTTGAGGCTCATTTCATCAAAGATGAAGCGTTGTTATCTAGTAATATGAATAAACTATAGACTTCACTTGAGCATAATATGGGAGGGCATAGGAACGTAAAGTGAAATGATGGAACGAGACATTCTACCCAACAAAATAAAAAAAAAGACGAGAAAAACTGAAGACCTGGCTCATAAAGACTAACTTCCCTTTAAGCCGGTAGGATTTGTTGGCACCAAGAGCACGTACTGAAACAAGGACGGCATTCAAATTCACAAAAAAAATAGAATGAATGATGATGGCGAAAGAAAATGGTGTAATGAGAGACGAAGAGGTAACAAGCTACTAGACGAACACAAAAGATAAATGCATGGCGAAAGATTCATGCTCATCCTCAGCGACAGTCAAAACTTCGAAGGAAGTTGTCAAGTAAAATCGAGCAGCGACATGCGATATACCAAGTTGGGTAGTCATGAATTGGCAATTCGTTCGGAATAAGCATTTCATGTCACATGTAATTATCCAAAAACAATTAAACTTTTTTTTGTGGAAGCGTTGTGTAGATAGGATATCATCTGTTCCCTGCCTTTTCCAAATCTTATTTGATCTTCTTGCCTGAATCGATTAAACTCACCTCAATCAGTGCAAGGACTATAATTGAGTTAAAACTTCTTTTTTTCGGGCATCTTCTAGCTCAAAGCTGTCGTCATAAAAAAAGACAAAAGAGAGAGAGTAGCTGGACAATCACAGACAAGTCAACTAATGAAAAGAGATTTTGATGACAAAATAACAGAATAATTAAATAAGGCATGGATGACTAAGACTATAAAGCTCCGAACCTCTGTTTCATTTTTCTTTAGAAAGTAATATTAATGTGAGAAACAAAAATCAAAAAACTTTGTTTCACTTCTGCATGATTAAGAAAGATTCACAAAGCTCATGATGTATGTACAGAAAGATTTCACCCATAATATCTCAACACTACGAATGTAAGACGTAACTGGGAGACAGCAACGCTCACAAAGTATATTCAATCTGAAATTAAAGCTTTTCAATATATATCACAGAATTGCGAGAGAAAGAGAACATGTTAGAAGTTTAGGAAACAAAACACTCAAAGAAAAATTCCGGGGGGTAAAAGTAATACTTTGGTAAAGTTACTCGTTAACTGAATTATAAAGTAATATGGCTGCTATGACCAAGATTGTGCCTACAACGAAGAATACTCCGATGGAATAACCGTTAAACAGAATGAAAGACAAAGCTACAACTATGATGATTGAGATGGCGGAAGCAAAACTCTTATAAAGATTATCCAGATGTTTCATAACCAATGAAATATATAAGCCGCCGATTGAAAGAAAACCTAGAACGAGATGTATTATTCAACAGCATAATCCATCAATTATGAAGCGAAACAACTAACCAACTATCGAAATAACATGAGCGTTGTAGCCAAAAAAGAAGCCTTTCTCCGAAATTTTATCGGCTTCTGCCAAACAACCAAGACAGGCGCTTATCTAAACGAGCTTATCGTCCTGAACTTATGCATGATTTCAACACCGACCACTCCGCAGCTATACATTTGCATATTACGAATCCAGAATGGAGTTGACCCACCATCTTTCAGCATTTTTTCAAAATAAACACCTAAAAAATTAAATTAAATACTAGTTGTCCTAATAACTAAGTTAGAATTCGACCGATAGGCTTCATACCCGACACTTCCGTGACTCACAAACATCACATCATTTCTACTTCGGAAGTAGACGAGAGCGGTTGATTTTTTTGAAAACTCTAAGTTTACCTGCAAATCCGGCAGTTACACAAGTCATAAGTACAGCAGAAATTCCTAGGACATAATTCTCATTGTTGTTTTGGTTTTCAGAGCTAACGCTATTCAACTGAATGATGACTCAGATGAGAGAGAGAGAGACATTGAAACTGTTACCTGCACAGCAGCTACTCCCAAAAACAACATGAATATGGCTAACCAACGTCTAGACGAAAAGGTTCTTCCTAGGAAAGCCATCATAAACAGAGCCGTTGTAACAACTTTAAGTTGAGCCGTGACCTGTAAGTTTTATCAACTTGATGTTTTATCAGAGTAAGCTTAAACCTGATAAACCCCCGCATCCAAATTTGATAAACCAATGAAATCTAAGTTATTCTGCAGAGCGTAAGCAAACGATGGAACGCTCATCTTTAAAATCTCCTTAGGAGCGCCGAAATAGTAAGTTTTAAGCTTCTGTAAACAGATTTATCACAAAGCAGTTGATATGAGAAGTACGAACCATTTGAAATTCCCTGAAGTGATAGTTTGTTTCTCTGCAATACATGACCAAAGTTATGAAAAGTTTGACGATCTCTGCCACAAGCACAACAGTTGAAGAGGAGTATAACTATGAAAGACAAATAAACGGAGTCTCCGAGGAGTAGCTTACTAAGTTTGATGAAACTGTACTTCTAGTATAACGAACCATCAAAGTGTATCCCGACCACAAGAATATCATTGTACATATGATATAAGCTTTGAAGCAAGTAGAAGAGTCCTCTTGGGGAGCTGAAAAAACGGTTTGAGTGGGTATAAAAAGTAGAGAGACGAACCTTTCTTCAAACTATTGTTGGACAAAGGTAGTAAAGCTTCCCGGTCATGATCAGGCATGACAATTCGAGTAAAAACTCGAGTACCTTAAGAGTTATCACTAGAATTTAGCTAATGAAATGCATGAAGCAGTACTTAATTGCGTGGCAATGAAAATACTGGGCAAACAAATTGCGTAAATAAGAAAAATTTGTAAGTGAAATGAGATTTCGGTGCAGAGGAAAAGCATGAACACCTATCAAAATCAAAAATCAATCTTGTCTATTGATCAGAACATATGGAAAGAAATAATTCTGTGAGATGTAGTAAGTAGTGTTGGGTGGTTCAGTGGAACAGGCTTTGGTTGCTGACCTATGGAATCTGTTATTGTGTTTATAGTATAGTAACGGATTACGAAGAAGAAAGAAAGGACGTATGGAGGAGTGATTGGGAAAAAAAGGCAAACAGTTTGCACACAAAGTATTCAGAGCTGTGAAATATAAACATGGAGAACTGGCAAACCACGAGTCCGTGAATACTATTAAATGGAGCCATAGTATGTATATATGAGCGTGTACTATTTTGGGAAGAGCATTCTGAGAAGTTTTTTTTTTCAAGCGAGAAAATGTTTCATTGAGAATGTTTCCTTAATGAACGATGAGGTCTATCAGAGCCACTACCCCTCGTAACCATAACTTCACTGGTTACTAGGCTTCTCAAAGCCACAAAGACTCTTTCGTCTCATTCTGTCAATTGGATTCAACACATTTTTCATACAAATGACATCGATTAAAGTTTTAATGAATACGTTATTCGGATGAGACACATGGCCAGGTTATCCTTTGTTTCACATCTGCTTTTTTCATGAAATCTACCTTAGGCTATTGCTCTTTGAAGAAACAATTCAACTGTAGTTGTCGGTGGCGGTCATCCAAAGGCTTCCATGTCGTTAAATTGGTCAAAAAACGGCATCTGGACAATGTTCTCTCTGGACGGCTCCAGACTGTCGCTCCCATCTCTATCATTAGAACTTGTATTGTCTAGGTCTCTAAGTTATGATGCTCTTTAGTTCTGATTGAGATAGCCTGCGTCTCTCATTTCATTTTCATCTTGTAAATGTTGCGCCGTCGTCGAAGACAACCCCCGGTGACAGTTTCTCTCCCCTCCTCACCTCCTTCAGCTACTTATCAGTTCGTTTTCAACAATTTCCGTTGGCTGTCACTTATTGATTTTGCTTTTCTATCAGCTGATCAAACTTTCTTATTATATTCCATTGCACACTTGGCTTTCACTACAAAGTCAGTGAAGAAGTTTCAAGCTTAGACTTTTAGGCTGAGCAAAGTGTTCAGACTAGAGTGCTCTTCCTTTCGCAGCAGACAGTCTTTCTTGCCACATGATCATTGTTTTAATTGTCCTTTTAAATTAAGTTGATTCTTGAAAATGACTTTCGATGGTTTAAAAGGAGACATCAATAAGCATTTAGGTTGGAAACAAGGTTTAACATGAGTTACTCTTTTCATGTTTATCGTTTGAATACCTAGGTGATGAAGACGAGAACTGGGCCAAGAAAGCCATCGAGAATCTACAGAAGAAGCTTTATAAACAGGACAGAGAAGCTATTAAGAAATTAGAATTTGCCTTACAAGTATGTTTGTATTCGAAATCCCCTTCATGCACGGTTGTTAAGTGTGAGGGAAACTATGCTACTGAATGTGTTACTATTCCTAAGTCTCTAGATGGTCGATTACAAGTTTCTCATAAGAAGGTACGTTCATTTTTAGAATTCAGTTCAAAGTAAAAGCAGAAATAAGATTTCAGGCTCTACCTCATGTAATTTACTGTCGGGTTTATCGATGGCCTGACCTTCAATCACATCACGAACTGAAGGCTATCGAGTCTTGCAGGTTTGTACTGTTTATGAATTAAGCTTCAGCTCTGGATTTCAGATATTGTTATGAATCTAACCAAAAAGAAGTTTGTATAAATCCTTATCATTATACGAGAGTAGAGAGTGCAGAACTTCTGCCGCCAGTCCTTGTGCCTAGGTAAGAAATTACTCATTGAAGTCATGGTCAGACCTACCGTGTCTAGGTATTCTGAACGACCGCCGAAAGAAGTTCCTCCTTCTATACAGAGGTTACATGATTTGGAAGCTCGTGGCTCTGTGATGCCCCAAAATGTGGAAATGCATGGGTTATTCAGGTTATTCTTAAAATATCTAACATGGAAACAAGAGAAAGCTTCAGCCAATCTCAGTGTATGCACCAAATGCAATTACAAGAAAACGATAGATCTTATCCAATCCCCTCTCACATTCCAACTGTATCGGTAAGATAAATGGAGAATAATATCTGATGAACGATTCCTTAGGTCCCTTATGTTGAAACTGAAGATTGGGCCACAATTAGTTATTATGAGATGAATACTCGCGTCGGAGAACAAATAAGAGTAAGTCTTGTATCATTTTTCAATCAATCGCTAGAAAATGAGGAAATGAATTTGAAAAAAATGTATGATGTCAGAAGGGAATAGTCTCGATGCAGAACGTGACCTTGAAAAGGGCATACTACGTCATGTACGTGAAAGAACGAAGTGCACGATTCCTTAATACATAGTCAATTCATAATATACTTTTTAGTTAGCATACACTGTTTATGCTTATAGGTATCCTCAACTACTATCAGTATTGATGGCTATACTGATCCCACTAATAGTTATAACAAAATTAGCTTAGGACTTTTCTCCAATGTAAACCGCAATTCCACAATTGAGAATACCCGTCGACATATAGGGAAAGGTTTGTTCTCTTCGCAACTATCTTCCTTACAGAAGTCTTTCAATCACTTTAGGTGTACGACTGACATATGTAAGTCATCAAGGCACACTCTTTGCTGAATGTGAATCGGATACTGGTGCTATTTTCGTTCAATCAAGAAACTGTAATTACATACATGGCTTTCATCCTACCACAGTTGTCAAAATTGTGAACAAGTGCTCCCTCAAAATTTTCGATGCCGAGTACTTCCGCCAGGTAATACTGCAGTAGTTGGTAACAGCTGCGAACCGTGTGTTTATAACTCAAAACAAGCTTATTTTTCTGGATGACCTCGGAATATTCCATTATTTTTCTTATAGCTTCTGGAAGATTGTTCTAAACGTGGGTTCGACGCATCTTATGAATTAACAAAGATGTCCATCATTCGGATGTCATTCGTAAAGGGATGGGGAGCTGAGTACAATAGGCAAGACGTCACTTCGACGCCCTGTTGGATTGAAATTCATTTACATGCACCACTTATGGTAGCTGCTGGGTACATGATCATGTTGATAACATTTTTTTTGCAGTGGTTGGATCATGTGTTGAAGAAAACGATGCCGAACCCAGATCCCATATCATCAATATCATAGTAAATAATTTAAAAACTGCAGAATCAGAACTAATATGCAGGACATATTTATTTAACATAGAAAAGTATTCAATTCGTCATGACACGTACTTTGCATAAATAAACAAGGAATGCCGGCCAACAATATAAATTTAATGTAGAGATGATGGAAAGCGAACGAGAAAAGTCATCCAGTTTTGATAAAACATTCTTGGAAGATGAAGCAGCCAAACATTATATCTCTAATATCTACATCATTCACTTTAGAGCTACTATAAATGGTGACTGATTATATTATTATTATAAGGAAGTTACTGTTTTTGCACTAGTAGCGAACACCGGTATGAGATCGGGTCAGCTGTAAGCAGTCAATCTCGATGATAAATTTTATAAACAAGCCGATTAAATAATGTTAATACTCAAGTGTTATTCTTCTAGAAATGCGTTGAAGCAGTTTGTCTTCTGCAGACATATACGTCAATCAGTTTTTGCTGTAAAGAGTTTTCATTGAACATTCCTTAATCACAAAAAACTTACACCCTTGTGCTCTAATTTGGACATATATTCTTCCATTGGTTCTTTTCCTAATTTATCGACAAGTGCTACGAGGCAAAATATACAATTTTTTCGAACTGACGAAATAGTACTGGGATAGCACTAAACAAACATGTTCAAAAACATTTAAAATAGTTTACAAGTACCTGGATTACTCCTGGGGCAACTTCCGGCAAGTAAGGCATGAAGTCATCGGAATCCATTGCTTCCACTAAGCGCTCAATCATTTTTAAAGAAAAGGCAGTTAGATTGCTGTTCTAAAAACAACGAATTTAAACGTTTAGTTTAGTTTAACTGACGATGTTTTTGATCATAGGTAGAACGACTGTCAGAACAATGTGTGGAGGTAGATGTGTAGCCAGTACTTTCATACATTCATCGGCTGTATTAACAAGAAGCTGAAAAGGGGAATGATTGGGAGCCTTGAAGAAAGAATAACTCACCATATTACGATTTTTCTGTTCATCCGAAGCATCGACAGAGTTCAGAACTTTCATGAGAGTTATTTCAGCAAGATCAATAAATCGCGAAGCTTGGGATAAGCTGAATAAGCATATGAAGTACGAAAGGGAAGAAAGAAGCACAAACCATGTTTTGGATAATAGTCGTAGGGCACTCTTCTTGAGATTTCCATCGTCTACTGCTAATGCGTCAAAAATCTTAAATGTTTTGATGAATTATTACTCATATTCAGTGCATACCGAGAGTAACAACGCTTTGAAGTTATCCTCCCAAGTGTTGAAAGATCCCTCACTGATCATTTGGTATAAAAGATTGAGAGCTTCAATTTGTTCGTTCCTCCTTAAACAACAATATGAGAAAATTATTCAAGTTTGACTGTTACCTATCGGGATTAGTCGAAACGCCTTGCAATTCACTGAACAATCTAGAAATAAAGATCTTCTGCTCATTGACATCATGTCGAAGATGAATAGTAGAGTCCAAAATCGCCTAGAAAAATATTTTATTAGAAATAGGTTTTAGAGAAATTTCATGTACACAGCAGAATGCAACTATTCAGTTCCAGGAAAATTTAGAAAACGCACCTTGGTTGATCCAGTAGAAGTGTCAGCCAACCTGGAGCGATCTGGTGATCTAATAGAGTCATTTATATTAGGCCCTAACATATAGTTGGACGTAGCACGACTGTCGACTTGGTCAACGGGCTCTTGTTCTGCAACTTCGTATGATAACGCCGTCTCCCTGAAATATGAACTCAGCAATTCAAAAGAGAAGTCAATATTCTGTGAAAACATCGATTTTGGAAAAATAACCGCCTAATGCATACAAAATGGTTTGTGGCGGGGTGTCGATAAAACAATAGAATGTGTGAGTGAACTTGAGGATGTATCACAAACACCCTAGTTTTGAAAACTGGACAATAACAATAACAAGGGTACTTACGGATTTTTCCGTTTCAACAGCTCATGGGCTAAGTCTCTCTTATGCTGTTCAAATCTATTCAATAATGAAGAAAAATCAGCAACATTTCTATGAAACATCGCAGAAAATATGTTCGAACATGTCTAAATGAAGAAAAATAAAAATACTCGAATAAATTCGGAAGTCTTACCGGGAGAAGAGATGTACACTTAGGATCCTCCATCCAATGGAACATTTTGTTTAAAACGGATCTCAATTCTTCTGTGTTCAGCTCTAGAGGATCTTGAGAAGATTCTAATAATTCCAACAAATAAATAAGCATCCCGTTCTTAGCCTGAAACTCGATAATGAAAATAACTGAAGCGAAATGTCAAGTACTTTAACAGTAGGCGATGAAATCGGACTATCTTGAATAACTTTACATATACTCTGTAGCTGAATCTTGGGATTGAAATTTTCTCTGATAGTCCTGAGAGCGGACTCCAACGAATTCTAAATAGAATATAATAAAAATGAAATTTCTGAGATGCTTACCTTAATAGTTGGCAATAACTCAGATGAATGTTTATATATAAGTTTGTGTAATAGAATTTGCAAAGTGTCTCCAAGCATTGAGTGATAAAGTCGAATGAAATCATTGAAAGTTTCTATCAGCGATGACATTAGCTGAATTATTAAAGATAACGGATCAACCTTGAACGAACTACATACCTTATGATTGCCCTCTGACAATAATTTAACAAAAGTTTCTGTCATCAGTTTGACTTCTGGCAAAGCAAACTGCTTACCCGCTCTTAAAATGTAATTAGTGAATATCTATACAAAGCTGTGCCATACCTCATCAAATCATGAATAGTTTTCAAACCCTCTCTCTTCTCAGATACGTTGGCAGAAGCACATCCTCTAAGAGCAACGTTCAGTTGAGCGTTATCCAGTCTTGACCTAGGGCCCAATAGAAAATCTTCCTCGTCGTCATTAGCAGTGGAATTTAAAGAGAGATTCTTCTGAAAGAAGCATGATTCCCAAGGTAAAGTAAAATAAGCAAGACTTACGATAGCTGTGAACAGTTCTTGAGCTTCAGGCTTCTCATAACTATTAATTTTCTTGTAATCTCTATGCATTGGAGAGCCATTTGAAAGCTTACTATTTGGACCATTAAAACGACGAGAAGGAGAATTACTACGCGATCCAGCTGGAGAAGAGGAATATAAACTTGTTATTTTTCAAACACACTAACGTTGTGAAACACTGGCTGGTGAATTCATAGCTACAATATTGGTGTTCTGTCTGAGTGGAGTACCTCTTCGGGGTGTGAATGCGGTAGTTGCTCTGATAACATTTGGCTTAACTGCTGAAACATAATGAAGATAATCAGTAAGTATAAAGGACACCTTACCAGTTCTAGGAGTTCCCATTAAAGAACTTTTCAAAGGTGTTGTTGCCCTGATAGCAGATTGTGTATCAATAGCAGACGCAGATCTTCCGGAGAAGAAACCTGAACAGACAAAACATGAGGATCGATAAGCCGCGTTTTCTCACTTCCAGGACGGGCAATACCACTTCCAGGTCGTCGGTTAATATGCAACCCATCTTTAAGACTGGTGATACTCTGAGAAGATGAAGTAGCTGAGGCTCCACCATTGAGATTTTTCTGCCGAGAAGGATCCAGAGTCTGGACAAGATATTAATCACAAAATTCTACAAAAACGCTTACCTTATATAGTGCTTGAGCATGGCTTGGAAAACTGAGTTCTAATTGTTGATATGATTGCCTAGCAGCGATTCTTGCGTTACTATCAGCATCGCCGATACCTGCCTGAACCAATTTTTTTGAATATTAACAACTTTAGTTAATTTTACCTTAATGACTTCCACTATTGAATTTAGCATTTTTTCATATTTTGCAGTAGGCCAATTGGTTAATACTTGTGATATCAATATCTGTGTTTGTCTACGGACATCTTTTGATTTATGACTAACGGTTTGTAAAACAATCGGAACGATTTTAGGATGTTCAACATTCTGAATAAAAGAATAATTGAAAAGTAATGATAAGAAGCACTTACTCTAACAATAAATTCACAAGCTTGGGAACCAGATGTAGCCATGACTTTGGCACTGTTCAAAATAAGACTCATACAAGTAGGTAAAACCTGCACGAATAAGGGTAGTAATTTCACTCCAAACCTTTCGGAGAGGAAACTGTAACAAAATATTCATCAAATCATTATTTTCAGTCACTTTACCATAAAGTTGTACAAGCCTCACGGCAAACTTGAGAACGCAGATCTGCTACATTGATTTTGAGGGCATCTTCCAAATTACGAAGACCCGTAAGCAAGTCTTCTTCAAAATCCATACCACCATTAATTACAATAGAGCGTAACAATTTCAACTTAAATGAGAAATTGAAGATGAAACTCTTGATGGAACTTACGGAATTAACACGTTTGTTCCAATCAGCATTTGTGTTTTCCAAAACACTTTTAATGCTATCGACTTGTTGTACAATATCATGAGAGCTATTAATCTGAGATGAATCCGAAATATATATAAACATGGAAACTACTTACTTGGCACTTGGGAACTAAACTGAAAGACTTTCTTAGTTCGTCTTCGGTCACAGCCCCAGCAGTACCTGAAAAAGACAAATATCATTGCAATAGTGATTAGTGTGTTCAACGCAAAGCTATTTTCAACGAGGACTGATGTTTTCATTATATTAAACACGGACGTTTAAATGCTGTGCATGTTTTTCGAGTGTGCTCTAGATTTGCAAAGCATCGATAGCCTATGAAATACCTGTACTAGCCCTACGGGCAGCATTCGGACGAGGAGGTAATCCTCCTAATAATTTTTCGATTATTTCACCGTTTCATACTTTTTTTCAAGTTTATGATACTATTATTTAAAAAAATACCTGGTTTTAATGTTGGTATTCCCCCTTTGGAGGCTGACATTGGTCGAATACGATTTTCCTGATCGGTCAAGCCTAAAAACATACTTATTACAACAAATGGGGTATTGGAAACTATTAGGGTAGTAGCTAGAAAACAATGATTGAGAATAGCATTTTCATTGATTAAGGTCGTACGAATCCCAATGGATGGCGCAACGACACCAATTTCAATGCATCACAAACGCGTTTTTCAATTTCATTCTAATGTTACTTCTTCCAATCATATGTTCATTGAAATGAAGACATAGAATCGAGTATTGAAGTAGTTAAACGGCGAAAGTTCAATCAATTACAAGGTATGTCAATAGTCTTCGTTTGTTATATTTGATGAGGTATGAGTTGTAGAAAAGAGTCAAACTTAACGAGTAGGAAGAAAAGATATAGATTACACGTAAACTACTCATGCCATGATAACTAATAGATAATGTACGAAATGCAAGAAAAGAACTCACTTCCTCTTCCATACGGTAACTGTGGTGCTTTGAAAGACATTGAAGCCTCTGAAAATGTTGAAAGTTAACACAAAGTATGCTAATTCGTAAATTCAAATTTTGTTATACTAGAATCATCAAATTATCGGAGCTCTGAGAAAGATGAACACTAAAGTTATGTCATGGGCGCCAAATAAGCGGACGCGCCATACAGCAACGCGCGCGTGGATAGCTTTCGTATGAACTCGCTTCATATAAGGAGCACATGGGTTCATTCGAAACAGAAGTAATGTTGGATATATTGATATCCAAACCACAAGAGAGACGATAGAGCTATGTAGCGGATATAAGAGATTATGAAGATACATGGATCCTAATCTACAGCATTATGAATGGGAAGCTAAATTGGGTTTTTTCCAGGATTATCAAAGAGTTTTAGAATCAAGAATCATGGATTTAGAGTTGCATTTGTATAAATTATCCGGAATATTATTTATAAATAACACAACTTCGCGCCGAAAGTTTAAATGCGCGGGAAAAGGAATTTTACGAATTAAGCTACATTTCAACTTATTATGACTTCCATATGGTCTAATGGAAAATAATACGAAAAGACTTGAAGTTCATGTTACAACTCGCCGAACTATTTCAGTTATGAAGATGCGCATCTAATCTCGAATGGTCGCTAATAATGGAATAAAAAGATTTAAAAATCAATAGCGCCAGCTGGTGTGGATAATAGAATACGATCACTGTTTGCTAGTCATTGGAGATGGTACCGATACGGTTTTAGATCTAGATGATTCTACGGAAGTTTGGTGTAGAATGCCGTATGTACAGATATTTTTTTTAACATACCACTTTTAGCTGCAGATGGAGGGCGACTCTCAACAGTTCGGACTGCTCTAGTTGGGCGGGCGAGAGGAGATGGTACGTAACCCTTTCGAATACCTTCTTCGTATCTTTGTGTTAACACTTGCATTCTGAAAAATGAGTTATGCATTATTTGTTTTCTATTTCTTAGAGCTTAGGTGCTGATAAGCTCATATAGGGTTCATTATTAGTTGAGGAATCTGTGTGATCATATACGTAATAGAACCTCATTTCGTTTTTTTTCAAAGAATTTTCTGATGAAAGTGAGTTTTATCTTTTGACGAGACTAACGACTTATTAAATGAAAATATTCGAGTTACGCAAGAAGATCGGAATATGAGATAAGTTCAAACGTCACGAACATGACTGTACAAGTGACCGAATCATCAACGAAGTGAACAATGAAGATAGAAGGGAGGAGTCATATGAAATTAAATGGGATGAATGAATTAGGTATTAACATAATTCGAGAGAGACAAGATTTCTCTTTCACACCAATGATGATGCCATACGGAGAGAACGCACCAGCTTACGAAATATGTTCTCATCACAACTGTTCATCAGATGCTATTCGTAATGAAAATTAGTTGTCGTTTGGTCAATCATAATAATCTATTCTAGTGAATAGATCAATTCGAACTGAGCTCATCAGAAATAAGACAACTTATGGGTTGGGAAAGCTTCCAGATGCACAAATGCCTTCATACAATGACTTACTTATTATCAGGAAGAAGACGTCTGTTTCGAATGCTGTTCACTAATTTTTCTCCAAATACAACCATAACATGAGCTAGAGTATTCATAGAAGCATCACGGACCTAGAAGAACCGGTTAAAGAATAGATTTAAGTTGCGTAAAATGACACTTTGATAGTTCGCAAATTTATTAGTTTCTCTTTAAAAGTGTTTAGGACTTACTTCAGCATTTGGATCAGATGTAAGCTTGCATAGAATGGGAATCAATCTATTGGTTTGTATTTCCAGAAAGTCATGACTGAAAAGATTGCTTCAAGGAATGCTGTTAAATAGAAAGGATAATGATATAATCGATCTTCTGAGCTTTTCGAACGCAGTTAACGTGGTTGAAATACCTCATGAGTCAACCTTTGATTCTTAGCTGATTTATTACATCAACTCAGAACCAACCGCTCTCCTCATCTCCAAAACCACCAAATGAAATATCAAAAGACTCAAGCGGAACCATGCAAAAGTACGTGAAAACGTGAGTTTTCCGTGAGTTCTCATCTTTCCATTTTCTCTTCTCGCTGTACTCAATTAGACTCACCTTTCGTCTAAAAGAATCCGGTATAAACTCATTGTTGTAGTCTTCACAAGCCATTGTTTATGATTGAAACCCGGTGACACCTTTTCGAGAACTAACTGTAATGAAATTTCATAAGAATAGTTCTAGAGTGCCATCCAACTTGATGACTACAATGGGGTACTGAAGCTAGATCGACGAGTAGGCCAACTGTTGCTTCTCGAACAGGTTGTTTCGAATCTCCCAATCTGAGTGTTTTTTTTAATATTAATAATAGAATATAGGCGCTACCTTTCAATCAAAAGAGAAACTCGGTCTAACAAGTAAGGAGCAATGAGGTCTCCGGACACGTCCAAAGCTGAGTTGAGTATTTCCAACGATTTCAAGCATACCTGTTAAAGTTTTTCAATTATTTCTTATCATTTAATGATCTGTCAGCATATGCTTTTAACGATGGGCCACAAAGCTTTTCATATTGTTTTTATGGGGGCTTTTCCCACTTAAAACTATAAAATATCAAAATCTCACTCCAGCCGTATATCTGATTCGAGTTAGTTTCTCTAATTGATTTCACATGACAGAAATGTTGCAAAATATCTTATTAAAATGAAAATTTAAGGCATGAATTCTCTGATGAGAGCCTAATCCTAATTATTTGGAACCTAGAAATAGCATTTTCGGAAGATTAAAAATCCCTTATCAAAGTTTATCATACGCTGGTTGAACAGAATAAGTTTCAATTCAATATGATATGAAGTGTTAAATGAAGAGTCGTATTTTAGCGGGTTAATGAAATATACGATGACTACTGAATTTCTGAGATATGAAAATGAGGACTAGTCTTAGGGAGAATCAAAAAGTCAGAGATTAATTTGCATAAAACCAAGAGAAAGTGCCGAAGTAGTAGTACAGACATGAGGTGGTGGCCTTCATCCAACTAGTTACTAAGAGCGACAAGTTCGATCGAAAATATTCAGATTTCGTCAGCAAAGCGAACAAAATGTGTACGATTTTTCGATAATTAATGGTTCATTTCATCATTAATCCAGAGGTAACAAGTTGAATCAAACTGTGAAACGACAATGTTTGCACGAAAGAAAAGTGGCAGAAGGCAAGTATAGGCAATTTGGTACTCTCTATTTGACCTTGTATTCTTTATGAAGGGAACCCCAAATATGATTATATTTCTACCAAATGGGCCTTTCATTTCATATATTAGACTCAACAATGTCTTCTACATGCCATAGAAACCACAAGAATGATATTTTTGAGAATTAGTTAAACTGTACTTTGAAGTTACTTCCAGACATCCATTGGAAAATGACATCACAAAACTCATTGAGTGTTCTCGGATCAGAAGGTAGACGATGATGGCTGAAGCCATCCAAAATATGTTCAGCTAACTCTAGACGATTACGTGGATCAGAACTGTTTTGGTCCAACAACTGAGCTAGCCAAGAAGACATGGTGCTCTTGTCGGGCCCAAAATTGGACCAGCACTTCCACTTGGGGTATGTGTTGAACTAAAAAGAATACCAGTTTCTTTTGAAATAGTATTTCATAATACAATGAAGTGAAAGGTTCGCGAACTCAAGTCAATTTATGAATTTTCGGTGATTAGTAAAGTGTGTTGAGATTAAAAGAGAAAAAGACTCCGTGAATAGAAGAACGATAAGAAAATAAAGAAATTGTATCTGTACAGCCATTAAGCAGGGAATATAAGAGCTGAAACAATATCTATCAATCAATGAGAAAAGGAATAAATAAAAAGCCTCTCACAAGATATAAATGCCAATTTTGGGAAGAACAGAAGTACAAGTAAAGCACGAAATGTCGTTCGATGTTTAAAATAAACAAGAAGAAGTGTGACATGCTTAAAGACAACAGTCATCTTTATAGTTGAGAAATATATGTTGAACGAGAAGATACGGTTAACAAGAGATTTTCGTCATTCATCTTCAAAAATGAGTTCAAAACTGTGAAATTCTATCATCCCTGAAGGTATTCGTCATGATTCGCCAATAGGCAGGTGAAAAGAAGTATTTTGAAAGAGAAATCGTTCCAATTAGGATGAGTTTCACTGATCTTCTCACACGGATTCACTATCAAACCAAAATATAATTATATAACATCATTAATCATTTTATTCGCACGAATTCAGTATCTTCATTCATCCACTAACACATAGTATCCGTTCATATTCATATTTCACAATTCAATATTATTCGGAAGCAAACAGCAACAATCAATCAAGTTAAGAAGACACTGAATCAAACGAAACTATTATGGAAAGGTTAAAAATTTACAAAAGACTCTGTCAAGCTGAACAGCTTGTGGCTGAGGCTAACACTACGACTGCTGTCTGCAGCCTGCAGATGCTGGAAGGAGAGCGGCCGATTGGGGTGGGTCTCTGCGTCTCTACTATACACAGAGTGTCTACTTGTCTAACGCTCGCTCTCCAAACCACCAAAGGAGGGAGAGATAGAGGAAAGGAGATGAGACGAGCAGTCATTCTTCCGTCTGTTCAGCCAAATAAGGCTTCATCATCTTTGTGTTCCCATGCAGCAATTAAAAGTCATCATCTTCAACTTTTCTCTTTGAACGCTCCCTTATTTTTTTTGTTTAAACCTCATTACGAAACTTGACATTCCGTTCTTATTTGATTTTTACCTTTCGGCACATTTCCGGTCAACGAAGTTGATAAGCAGTTAGCAAAGACAGACACGCTCTTACACTTAAACGGGGTTTCGGTGAATCGGTGAAGAAGATGTGGTTTCATCGTCTTAGAATATATAAAGCAAATGAAATGTGAGAAGCTTCTTCATTCGACACCGATAACCTGCTCTTCATTAAAACATATTTGTAGTTCTATATCTTTCCTCTGCTTGTCAAAGTGCTGAGCTCAAAGGATAGAACCTCAAAGTGGGAAGTGATTGGTTCTGATGAAAGTGTCAGTCCTAAGAATCAAACAAAAACCATAGGATATTACACATTTTCCGTGAGGTGGTGGTTGTAGCAAATCTTCCGTAACCTGCTATCTCTGGCTTTACTGCTTCCACATGAAATTATTAAAAGGGATAACATGCATGCTAAGATGCTACCTCTCCTCCAAGCCCTTCATCTCTCCAGCATGCTTGTGAATCAAAGCTATACAAACATGTAAAAGGCGGCTTATAATCTAACAACTCATAATAACAATTTGAGTAAATATTCACTAGAAAATAATTTATTTGAGCATCAGTTCAGGAAATATACACAAAAGAGAAAAGCAGATCGGAGCTTCTCTTTATCTACTCGTTATAATCTTGCTCATCAACCAACACTATGATACAATAACATTTATAAATTTTGAAAACGTTCAATAAATTAAATTACTACCCATTTACTTTCCGTAAGCTTCGATCAACATTCCGACTCCATGACCTCCGGCAGCACAAGCAGCGATCACAGCATATTGCCCTTTCTCTTCCTGTAAACCAAACATAACATCCTGCAAGTGGTTTCCCTACAAACCTTTAAACGTCCGGCTGAGTGGGCAGCGAGTCTGACTCCGGTAGCTCCGAATGGGTGACCGATGGAGAGAGAACCTCCCCACTTATTAATCTTGTTCATATCCAAACGGCCGAATTTGCCTTTACGTCCCATGTTCTCCTATTATATTTTGATAACAAACAACTCCAAGAAGAAAACTAAAACCTTGCAGAAGAAGTCGCTGTCTAAAGCATTGAGATTTGCTAAAACTTGTCCGGCGAAAGCTTCATGGATTTCAAAAACATCAATGTCTTTAAGAGTGAGCCCAGCCTAATCAATTCTGGAAGTCAACAAAAGCTACATAAACACAAACAGACCTTATCAAGAAGCTGTGGAATAACATAGGCTGGAGAAAGAAGCAATTGATCCTTGGGGTCCTGAGCTACATACATGAAGTCGCGGAGATAGGCTTTTGGTTTATATCCATTAGCAAGAGCAAATTCCTCAGTCATGATTAAAGCAGCGGAAGCTCCATCAGTCAAGTAAGAAGCGTTTGCTGCAATGATTCTCTTAAATAAGGAAAAAACATACAAACACATACCAGCAGTAACTGTTCCATGGGGCTTTACGAAAGCGGGCTTCAGAGAAGAGAGCTTTTCAATGGTTGACACTCTGATTCCATTATCAGCCTTAAAAGGTGCAAAGTACGAAGGACAAAGTTTCAATGAACACCTTAATAGTTTGGGGTTTTTTCCCTGGAAGGAAAACAGGAACAATGTCTGTGAATTTCCCAGCTTCGGCAGCTTGTTGGGCAAGAGTGTGAGATCGAATGGCAAATTCATCCTGTTCTCTTAATGATAAAAAAACATAGGTGGAACAAGACATAAGATTTACCTTCTGGAAACGTTGAAAGCAGCAGCGAGACGATCTCCACTGTGTCCCATAGTTTCTCCAGTGGAAAATTCAGCAACAGCTGGTAATTCAGGAGAAATGATGTTCTTGAGAATATCACCACCTTAGAAGAAACATCATTAAACGTATATACGATTTGAGCTTACCAATTTTCAATTTGGATCCGAGATCTTTGGCTTTCTGGAGACCGAGCATGGCCTTTCTAGCCTAAACCGTACAGTATAACACAATATGAAAGCTTATGAAAAACCTTGCGATTATATCTGATTGGAACGTCAGAGAGAAACTCTACTCCTCCAGCAATAACTGCCTGGGCATTTCCAGTAGCCAGCATTCCCATTCCAGTGGTCATAGCGACATTAGAAGAAATGCAAGCCAAAGTAACGGTATGAGCAGGAATCTTGAAATGGATAACATTTATCCATTTAAGGAATCAAATCTCACCTTATCTGGAACTCCAGCGAGGAGAGCAGCTTCTCTGGCAATGTTACTAGTCTTGCACTCTTGAATAACAGTACCGCAAATGATGTGATCAAGTTGCTTGTAAGGAAGTTGAGTTCTCTCGATCAAAGCTAAACCAACAGTTAAAACTAATGATATATTGCCTCACCCTTGATGGACTCTTTTTGTAAATCAACAGCCATCAAATCCTTATAAACGGTTCCGGAAACAACAAATGGAGTACTTAAAAGAACAGAGAATTCGTGGTTGATGACTTGATGGCTTTACCGAACGGCATCTACAAGAACGATGTTAGGTCCGACACGTTCCCTCTTTGCAGCACTAGCGAAGGAACGAGCCAATTGTAGAGAACCAGACTTGACACGGAACATCCTGAACAAAAAAATAATAAAGAATCAGCTATAAGGCTTAACACTGCTGAAGACTGAACAAAATTAGTGAACGATGATAACAGCAAGGACTACGATGGACTTTGTACCCTGCGTCCGACCTCCATGCACTTCCAATACAATCAGGATTTCGATTTCGTTAATTTAATAACGGAGATATTAAATTTGACACTTTTTTTTATTACTTGCTCTACAAATTGAGTAAACGCTGGAGCCCCATGGAGAATTATTTTTTTTGTTTCACGATAAGATAACTAGAGATAAACATATAAACAAATGAGAAGCAGAGAACCTCTAACAAACATGAAATAACAAGAAAGTTTCATTAATTTGCTGTAACCTTACTCAATCTCAAAATAAATCTTTCATGGTCAACTGTTTCCCACAAAAACAGCGATTTCAATACAAAATCCAATCATGGAAGATAGCAAGAATGGAGCCAACCTCAGCATTCGCTCCAATGCGAAATACATGCTCTACGGATAAGTGTATGAATACACTTTTTGGCCGACGGCCAAGCATTCAAATCTGCTTGAATGCGAAATTATTTGAACATTTAACTTGTATAATTTTCGAATTATATTGCCATTGTCTCATGTTAACTATATCGTTCATTCAACTTTTTTAAGGGAAGATGACTTTCACCTGTGCTATCAGTGGAGAGCAAGCTAATGAACCTGTTGTTACGCCTTCTGGCCACATTTTCGAAAAGAGACTCATCATCAAATACCTCAACGAAAATGGAACTGATCCCATAACATCAGAGAAACTTTCCGAGGAAGAGGTATAAACTTCATATTCTTCATATTTTGTTAATTTGTTTGTGTTAAAGCTCATTGACTTGAAAATTGATTCCACCTCTGCTGCCGTCAGAAATACCTCTCAAACATCCATTCCTTCATTACTGAAGCAACTTCAGGTTTTGTTTGGTTTTTTTTCATCGTCCTCATTATTTTGGTTTAGGATGAATGGGATGCAGTTATGTTGAACAGTTATTCACTCCGCTCACAATTACAAGTTGCTCGTCAAGAGTTGTCTCACTCTCTTTACCAGGTATTTCTTTTTTTTCACAAATGTTACTGAACAGTTAAACCATCTAGCATGACGCCGCTTGTCGTGTGATAGCTCGTTTATCTAAAGAATTAACTGCTGCTCGTGAAGCTCTTTCAACTCTGAAGCCTCATGGTTCAGGCCATGACGTGTCTCATGGAGACGTTGATATGGAACAAAGTGTCGAAGAAAATCAAATCGGTAAGGAAACTTCTCTTGATACTGAAAATAAACTGTTTTTAGGACTATCTTCTGCTGTTATTAAGAAGTTGGACGACAAAGCTTCCGGACTCACAGCTATCAGAAAACAACGCGGAAAGAGTGCTCCAGAAAACCTTGCTAAGCCTGATGATATCACAAACTTCAAACAAATTAACAGTCATAATGCTATTCACAGCACAGGAAACCCAGGAATCACTGCTATGGATATCAAGGTTATTCTAAACTTGTTTAAAAAAAAACTTTTTGGCTATAGGGATCTACCGCTATTACTGGAGGAGTCGACAAGAAAGTTATCATGTTCAACATCAATAAGGAAACAGTTGAAAACGAGTTCATTGGTCATACTAAGAAAATTACTTCTGTTATTCTCCATCCCAATGGAAATAACGCCGTATCTGCTAGTTCCGATGCCACAGTCCGAGTCTGGACCTCTGGGGACCAGAATAATACCGCTGTTGTTGATGTTCATCAAGCTGCAGTTACAGGTACTTTCTAGGCGTTGATTTTTTCTCATTCAAAATTTTTTTAGATATTTCTCTCCATGCTACTGGAGACTACATTCTTTCTGCTTCTGATGACTCGCACTGGGCTTTCTCCGATTTACATACCGGAAAGACTTTGTGCAAGGTTGCCAATGATGAAACTTCTAATGTTGGAATTTGCTGTGCTGAATTCCACCCTGATGGTCTGATCTTCGGTACTGGTACTGCTGACGCTGTTGTTAAGATTTGGGATATGAAGGAGCAGGTAATTCTTAAAGATTTTCGAAAAGTATTGACATCACTTTATAGAAAAATGTTGCCAATTTCCCTGGCCACTCTGCCCCTGTACGTGCAATTGCTTTCTCTGAAAACGGATATTACTTGGCTACTGGTGCCGATGATGGAGAGGTATTTATTTTTTTATTTTCTGTTTGATCTGTACTATTTCTTTTTCAGGTGAGACTATGGGATCTCAGAAAATTGAAAATGTTGAAAAATCTCATTCTCCATGACGGAAAAGCTTCGGTGAGACTTGAAATTTTTTTTTGAAATTAATTCCATGTTTAGGTTAACAATATACACTTTGATAATAGTGGAACATTCCTAGGTGTTGCTTCATCTGATGTCCAGGTTCTCCATGTTAAGCCATGGCAGGTATGATTTCAAATTTCGTTCTTCGTACCTATTACAACTTCTTCCAGGTTGTCGGAACATTCTCAGAGAGTACTTCTAATGTAACCTCGGTACGATTCGGTGAAAACGCAAACACTATCTACTCGTCTTCTTTGGATAAGTCTCTTCGTATCTATTCTCTTTAAACGATCTAATTTATAACTGTTCCTGTTCTGTTGTATATTGTAAAACATTGTTTCACAAACGTTGATCATCATCTTACTGTTGTTTCCGTTGATCTTCAATAATTTACCAAATTTGAACATGAAGTATTTATGTTTTAGTGTTTGTAACCTTTCCAAGGTTTAAGCCTCATACCGCGATTCAATTCCGATAATTTAAGTAGTATATTAAAGCCCGCTACTTAGTAAAGGATAAGGTGGATATGGACTATGTTCGTCCCCTTCTCCGTAGTCTATCAGAATCGAGTAACGACCATGATATTATAGACCCTAAACTCGAAATTATCCGTTCAGAAGGAGCTGATATACGAGGTTTGTTAATGATTTTGAAAATTAATGCTATATCCTTGTAGCGCGTAAAAGAGACGGAGAAGCTTTAGAAATCCTAGCAGAGCATGCAAAAAGGAAAAAAGTTGGCCCATCGCTTATGGAATACGGTGAGTTTAAAGTCGCATGCATTGACCGCCTGTCTCTCTTAAGCATTATTACCGTTTCGCTCAGTTTTCAAAATGATAACAGGAGGAACAGACGACGAACATGAAGACGAGGTTGTTCAGAAGTCGCTGTCTTTTCCTGGTGATAAGAAATTCAGTATGTGCATTTCCCTCCATTTAAGAGTTGAGGCATGAATTTTCAGATTTCCCAAGACCTGTGAAAGATGAAGAGGACGATATTATTATTTTAGAAAATGATGTTGAGTCAGAAGTTGAAAAACAAGAAGTTGATCAACTCAACTCATCTAACTATTCCAGTCGAGCTGAAAAAAGCAGCACGTAAGTTACCGGTTTTTTCTATTCATTTGTATTTTTTTGTAGACGAGCAGAAATTCTCACCGTAGAGCCGGCCATTACAATATCATCTGTCGATGATTGTTCAGAAAATGAGGTATTGACTATCAACTTGTCATTTGGTTTACGAAATTTTCGAGGTGGAAATCGTTGCTGAAGTGCGCTGCACTCCTAAAGCAGTTTTCCAAAGCCCTAGCCTACAAGAATCTGTAGTTTTAGCGCAGAGCGCCGGGACACTATTTAGTCCATCACAGTCAGATTCGATATCGAACTATTCAACAAATGGGCTTCGATCATTCTCTGGTTCTCCTTGTCCAGATGACAGCGTCAGTCGACAAACAACCCCTAAAAGTTTCCGCTTGGGTATGAATGAACTTGTGAAGTTTTTTTTAATATGTGCTTTTGTTTAGAAACATCGTCATTTGACAGATGGAGTCGTAAACCCAGAAAATTCCAACAGCGAAAGGCTTGCACTGATGCCTATGAAAAGTATCTTCGGGATTATATGCAAAACTTGGATAAAGACCCGATGACCACCAATGTGATTTCCGGTCTTAATATATTTATTACTTACATTTTCACAGGTCATTCAAATTAATGCCAGAGATACATACAAGGCAATGCTCGCTGAAAGAGATCAGAGGATGTACAAAATGCCGTTAGTAGTATCATAACTTCGGATGCGAATTGCTTGTTTAGGAAGCAGAAGCGAATAGGAAAACTCAAAAGTAACCCCGTACACAATAACTATTTGAAACGTGTACGTAATGCACTGGTCAGATTACCTGCTGATTTTAACTTATCTTCAACTGAGTATGTTCATTTCTTCTTGTCGTTCGACGTTCATGTGTTCTAGATATACTAATGATGTTTTCAAGAATGATGGTGATGAGACTTTCGATAGGTACGTTTCAATGAATGGAATGTGTGTGAAACCTGATTCATTTCAGAGAAATATCCCTTGTGAATATTACCAATAGTGAGCAGGACTATGAGGGGTAAGTACACAGCACAAGATTATTGTTCAAATGAAGCATTTTGAAGCAGAACTCATGATGTTTCTGGACGCAGTTCTCGTTGTTCAGAATCTAGTAATTTCTCTAGTCGATTAGAAGATAGCGTAAATGATATAATGCACAAAATTAGGGAAGTTGATATTCAACTGAATGAACAGACCACTGTTTACGATAGGTATGTGGTATCGTAATTCTGTGAAAGTTTGCTGTCTTACAGATACAAGGATGAAGTTGAATCTAGGAAACGACGAGAGATTGAACTGAAGGAAACCTTGAGAATAACAAATCTCTCCCGAGCGGTAACGTTCTACTAATGCATCTAATATTAGAGCGTGACTTTCTAGAATGACCGTGCGGAGATAGAAGAACGAGTTCGGCAAAACTTAGAGTTAGTTGGCTTGAGACCTCCCAAACCAAAAGTACCGGCTAAGGACGAGTTTCCAAGTACGCATTTCAATTCTAATTTAATTAACCACGTGTTTGTCTTTGAAGCCTTGCCTGAAGAAGCGGATGATATTTGTGCCCGAGCATGGGATAGACGAGGAGACCCTGAGGAAGTATTTGTTGATACAGCGGCTGCTAAAATTTCTCGAAAAGTGGGATAAAAGTTTTCAGAGTTTCATCAAGTTTTTTTATAGGATCTAGCTACTCTATCTGGTCTTCATTGGTTAAATGATGAAATCATTAACTGTTATTTGAACATGATTGTTCAACGTTGTGAAAAGGATAGCAATCTTCCAAAGGTGTGTATTTTGAAACGCTAGAACCTAATTCGGTGAAATTGCAGGTGTATGCTTTCAACACGTTTTTCTTTACCAACATTGCGACAAAAGGATACGCCAGTGTAAAACGATGGACAAGAAAAGTTGACATTTTCTCATACGACATTCTTTTGGTCCCGGTTCATATGCATAATAATCACTGGTGCTTAGCTGTAAGTTGCATTCGTTTTCGTCTTTCCATGTTCCAATTTCGCAGGTTGTGGATTTTCCTAACAAAAAGATAGAATATTTTGATTCGCTGCATGGAAGAAACAGCCAATGTTTGGAACTTGTCAAGTACGTCCTATCGCCCTTCTTTCATGAATGCAACTTTTTGACCTTTAGACAGTATTTACAACAGGAATCACAGGACAAGAAAAAGACGAATTTCCCAATGACAGACTGGTCGCTTACTATAAGAAGCGTAAGTTCTCTGTTCTTTTCGCTATTCATCGGCGTCATTGTTTCAGGATTGTCCAGAGCAGTATAACGGAAGTGATTGTGGAATGTTTTCCCTCAAGTTTGCTGAATTTGTCTCTAGACGAAGAGAAGTCATTTTTACCCAGCAGCACATGCCTTACTATCGTAAGCGCATGGTTTTTGAAATTGTCAAACAGACTCTTTTGTAACATTTTTTTCTTTTATACATAGTGATATATACATATATATTTTCTTACAATACATATGATCTTAATGGCGGATATGTTAAGTTACCTTGTGTTCACATTACCAATTGAAGGATCTCGAGGTATATTTAGATTATGTTTGCGGGTCAGTTCCTCTTTCTAAGCTAACTTGTAGCATTGAAATAGAATGTATATTTTTCTCTTGTGGCTATTTTTCAAAACATGAATGAATTTAATTTAATTTTCTTTCTCATCTTTCAGTTCTTTTCTGTAATATTTCGTAATGTTTGAAGGCTCATCCGTCATTCATCTATCATATCTTTACAGATGAGTCACGGAGGTAGTAAATCTGACTCCAGTGCTTCTCACGTCAAAGACGGAATTGTCGACTTATTAGCAGGAACATGCGGTTTGTAATACCTGTCGGACATCTTTGGATTCCTTTGTTAAGGAGGAATAGCCAATGTATACGCTGGACAGCCGCTTGATACAGTGAAAGTCAAAGTCCAAACCTTTCCACATTTGTACAACAGTTGGGTTGTTTGTCTGAAGGATACTTTCAAGAGTGAAGGAGTTAGAGGACTTTATGCTGGTTAGACCTGATAAAATGTTGAAAGCCTATGAATTAGCTTAGGAACTATCCCTGCTCTTGCCGCAAACATAGCTGAAAACGCTGTCCTATTTTCCGCTTATGGGTATTGTCAAAAAGTATTTTCTTATTGAAGAAGAAGTATGAAACCGCTTCTTTTAGTTCGTAGGATATGCAGTTGGACACTCGGATCCAAAATCTATGACCCCGCTTGAGAATGCTTTATCTGGTTCCTTAGCTGCTGTATTTGCTGCTACTGTTCTTTGTCCTACTGAACTTGTTAAATGCCGTTTACAGTCCGCCACAGAGCAGAAGATTAAATGGTTTAGTGTTTTTTAAAGCTGAATGAACCATTGTTTCAGCACTCCCTTCTCGGTTTGCCGGGATATGTGGAAGGAGAGAGGAATGAGAGGTTTTTTCGTAGGAATGACTCCAACACTTGCAAGAGAAGTTAGTTATAGTTTTTTTTGTTTTTGATAAATTAATAAAAATCAACTAACCTTTCAAGTACATGGTTTCTAATAGTGCACAGCGGAACCAACCGGTTTCGTCTTGCTTCGCGTGAGAAATGGTTTTTCCACGTCATTTTCACGTGGTCAAAACGAATGTACTCTTTATTTTTTTTTGCTGTACTTTCTATTTTTTACAGTCTAACCAGAGTAACTATAAATATCGTATGATATTCTTTCTTTCTATTGAAGCAATACTTTTCAGGTGCCCGGCTATTTCTGTTTCTTTGGCGCATACGAAACTTGCCGTTACATGCTGACGCAGGAAGGCCAAAACAAAGATGATATAGGTTATTTGCTTGTGAATCAATATTGGGTTATCAGAAAGTTGAAGGTTTGATGAAAACAGCTTGTTCTGGCGCTATCGGCGGCATGGCCTTATGGACGTCTATTTTCCCCGCTGATGTCGTGAAATCTAGGATGCAGGTACATATGCACCCAATGTTATCGTCTATATTACTAATCTTGTTTAAGGTGCAAGGTGGAGGAAAGTTCGGCGAAATGATCGTAAGTATAGCTAAGAACGAAGGTATAATAATGACTAATGCTTCGAAGACTAAAGACTGATTTAGGAATCCGCGGACTTTACAAAGGACTTCTTCCAACTTTAATTAGAACTTGTGTAGCTTCTGGATGTCTCTTTGTAGCCTACGAGGAATCTCGAAAACTGATGCACAGCTTTTTCTAAGTATTTTGATTGTCTCAAAGAGATTTAATGTTTGTAGAATAAGGATTCTGTTTTATTAGAGAAAGATTATTCTCATTTTACGGTTTATAGGAATTGTTTCTTCCTGTTTGTTCAGAGTTTATGTATTATATTTTTATACTTTAATAACATTCTGTTTTTCTGAAAGCCTGAGAGTTGAATTCAAATCAGATAATGTATCAACGAAGTGCTATCTATTTGCTTCAGAAATTTTTACAAACGCACGTCATCAGTTGTTTAGCATCAAGCTTGTTTGGGTCGTGTATGCTAGGAAGTTTCATCATAAAGAATCCGTATCTCGCAGCAGTCTCCTATCGCAGATTCGCTCAGCAGTTCTACAAGGTTTGTCTAGAGTGCTGGAGGTCATTTATTTTTTGCTATTGATTGACCAGTTGGAAATGATGACGAAATTACAAATAAGGTAGAGCAGATATAACTGTGAATACCTAAGTCTGCTCCTTCTTTAGTATACGAACAACTGTTTCTTTACATATTTGACATTAGCCTTTTCCTTAACCGCTGTTTACACAGTTCTGATGTTATTTGAAATTCATCGTTCATCTACTAGAGGATAGGATTGAAATTTTTTATCATTCGCTTATTTGGAGAAAAGATAATTTTACTTTTTTGTTGATTTTCTTATTATGTTGAAACAATTTCTTTCGTTTCATCAAAATGATGCAACAGATGACCTCTTCGTTTTGTGCAGCACTTTTTGATTTTACTGATCGCACGTTTTAAGGCAGAAACAGTCGCAAACAATCGTAAAGTTGGGAGAAGCAAACCCTTAGTCCCAAAATTCACAAAACAGACGAAAGTTAAGATATCAGACTATTTGAGACAAATGGCAACTCCTGAAATCGAAGCGGTGAGTTTTTTATTTCCTTGTTTCGTCTATTCTGATCATTCTATAGCAACTCGCACCTCTCCGTGCGGCCGTCAAGGAATATGGAGACATGATCAGAGACCTCAAGGTTTTTATACATTCTTTTTCGAATTGCTAACTATCACATTAGGCCAATGGTGCTCCCAAAATTGATGTTGACAAGGCTGTAATTGAACTGAAAGCCAGAAAGAAGCTTCTGGAAGAAACCGTAATACTGTTTTGTAAAAAATATGTTCACAGTTCATCCTTTAGGAAATTGCTTTGGCACCCAAGGAAGCCTCATTCGATCGTTTGAAACTCGAAGATCTTCTCAAGCGCAGATTCTTCTATGACCAATCCTTCGCCATTTATGGAGGAGTTACTGGACTGTGAGTTTCTCATTTTTTTTTGAAAATTTGAATGCTGTCTTCCAGTTACGACTTTGGTCCAATGGGATGTGGATTAAAATCCAACATGCTTCAGGAGTGGAGAAAGCATTTCATTCTCGAGGAAGGAATGCTTGAAGTTGACTGTACTTCTTTGACCCCTGAACCAGTATTGAAGTGAGAAGAACCCTTCGACTATTAGTTATACGGTTGACTGTTTTAGAGCTTCTGGCCATGTTGACCGTTTCGCTGACTTCATGTGCAAAGATCCAAAGACAGGAGAATGTTTTAGAACTGACCATCTGATCAAAAACAGCTGTGAAAAACTTCTGGCTGAGAAGAAAACCACCGATGAAACCAAAGAAGCACTCCGAGATGTTTTAGCTCGTCTCGAAGGTTTCGATGATAAGGAAATGCAAGAGGTACTGAAGTTATATTAATATCTTTATTCATCATCGAAATCATCAGGTCATCACTAGATTCAACTTCAAATCACCTACCACAGGAAACGATTTAACTGAACCCATTGCTTTCAACTTGATGTTCCCAACTCAAATCGGGCCTACTGGAGATTTCAAGGTTTCATATGATACTGGATGAAGGCTTATATAGGTTTCAGGCTTTCCTGAGACCTGAAACTGCTCAAGGAATCTTCGTCAACTTCAAGAGATTACTGGAGTTCAACCAAGTGAGCCTAGTCATGTTTTCTAACCAAATAATTCTTTCAAGGGGAAATTGCCTTTCGCTGCTGCTCAAATAGGTATCGGATTCCGTAACGAAATCTCACCAAGACAAGGATTGATCAGAGTGCGTGAGTTCACTATGTGTGAGATTGAACACTTTGTTGATCCTGATGACAAGAAGTTGGCTAAGTTCAAGAAGGTATTCCACTATCCAAAACTATGCTTAAAAGTGTCTTGTTCAGGTAGCTGATGTTCCACTTGTTCTTTTCTCTGCTTGTAATCAAATGGATGGTAAACCAGCCTATGAAATGAAGATAGGAGAAGCGGTTGAGAAAGTGAGTGCTGTTTTACTTTTGTTCTTAGTACCTTGAATCTCAGAAAATTGTTAACAATGAAACTCTCGGATATTACATGGCTCGTACCCATCTCTTCCTTATGAAAGTCGGAGTTGATCCTCGTCGTCTTCGTTTCCGTCAACATCTTGCTAACGAAATGGCTCATTATGCTCAAGATTGTTGGGATGCTGAAATCCTCACCAGCTACGGATGGATTGAGTGTGTTGGACATGCTGATAGATCCTGCTATGATCTGCTCCAGCATTACAAAGCTACTAACGTCAAGGTATGTGTTGTGTAACTCTTTATGACCTTTGAATTATCTTAAGCTCGTTGCTGAGAAAAAACTCTCAGCGCCTCGCACATTAAACATCGTTGAAGCTCAACCCAACATGGCGATCCTAGGAAAATCTTACAAGAAAGATGCCAAAAAAGTGAGAACAGGATGATCGTTTTATTCGCATTCATACTTTTAAGATCCAAACCAAGCTAGCTAATCTCAGTGCAGATGAAGTCGTGTCTCTTGAGACTGAGTTGGCTACTAATGCGTAAGTGTTCGTCTTTTTTCAATAATAACTTGGTTTTAAGATTGTTCAAGTTCAGTATTGAATCTGATAGTTTTGATTTGAAGCCAGAAATGGTCAGTATCAAGCGTTATGAGAAGACAGTGAGTGTTAAATAAATAAATACGAGAGGCTAACCAATTTCCATCAGGTTCACGTTGAAGAAATCACCCCATCTGTCATAGAACCATCTTTCGGAATTGGAAGAATTATGTACTCTGTTTTGGAGCACTCTTTCCGTCAAAGAGAAGGAGATGAGCAAAGAACATTCTTGGCTTTGAAACCATTGGTTGCTCCAATCAAATGTTCCGTGTTACCTATTTCCGCCAACGAGAAGCTCGAACCTATCATTGAAGCCGTTCGCGATGAACTAGCCAAATACGATCTCAGCTACAGAGTGGTAAGAATAACATGATTTGCTCGAGAATAGATTATTTAATAGGACGATAGCTCTGGATCTATCGGAAAGAGATACGCTCGTACTGACGAGATCGGTATTCCATTCGGTGTAACCGTTGACTTCGATTCCGAAAAGTTACCTTGGTCAGTCACATTACGTAACTCTGAAACTATGGACCAAATTCGTCTCAATGTAAGCTTGGCTGAAGTTTCTAATCAACGAAATTGTTTTTAGATTTCTGAGCTCGGACAACTCGTGTCTGAACTCGTTTCTCAGCGCAAGCAATGGACTGATGCTACAGCTCAGTACCCAAAGTTCGAAACCAAAGCTGAATGAGTTGTTACCGATTTTCGAAAATGATAATTCGCTGATTTACAAAGGCTTAAAAATTCTTTTTTTCAATTTATCATAAAATTGTTGTTGAAAGTTTATATAAATATTTATTCCAATTATAAGAGATTCTTGTTTGTCGATGCATTCCGATCATACGTCACTATCATCCTATCAGAGTATGATTGGCACACAAAGAGAAATACGATGGTTATTTCGAAAGAAGGTTGCGAAATAAATGTTATTTATAGCGATTTACCCATGAAAAGCAAGAAAATAGTTCATTATCTCAAAAAGATGTCAGTAGTAATGTTACCGCAATTATATATGTAAAATCTAAAAATTTGGTGGAAATGTGCCGTTACGCTCGCAGCCTGCGCGCTAATGCCAATTCAGCGCTACAAAACCAATTCGAAAATTATATGAACAGCGCGTTTGAATTTTCACTGTTGGTTTTCCATTTGAAGCGATTGCGATTGAAAGAATTTTTGAATTAGTCTGTTTCCTGAAGTTGTTATTATATTAAGACATTTATAGATAGTAGTGTAAAAGCTACTACTGAAAGTAGCCATGTTTGGAAATAACAAACCAACTTTTGGTAGTAGTTCAACCTTTGGATCCCCAGGTAAATTGTTGCTGCCGTTATTTTCCTATCGATGCGTTACTAGGGTCAACTTTATTCGGAAATCAAGCAAAGCCTGCGGGATCACTATTTGGACAATCCACCAATACAGGATCATCATTGTTCGGACAAAAGTCCACAACTAATTTATTTGGATCTCCATCGACTCAGTCGAACACAGGAAGTATTTTTGGTAAGATTATCAATCAAACGCATTCTTCTTACATTTTGTTTTAGGTGGAACCCAGCAAGCCTCCAATACTGGGTCTTCACTTTTTGGACAAAACAAAACCTCTATGTTTGGAGGCACAAATGCAACATCTAATACATTTGGAACGACTAACAACACTTCCTCTGGACTTTTTGGTTCATCAACTACAAGTAATACAGGAAGTCTTTTTGGAGGTGGTGGTGGAGGTCAGTTTAATCTTATAGTCTTGTCTAAGTTTCTTCATTTCCAGGTACAAATGCTCCAAATGGAACCACAATAAAGTTTAATCCACCTGTGGCTATGGATACCATGAATAAAGGTGGAAACGTACAGAATATTCAGACAAAGCACTATTGTATTACTGCTATGAAAGATTATGAAAGCAAAAGTTTAGAGGTATGTATGAATATTATCGGCTCAAATTATATTCTAATATAGGAATTACGCGTTGATGACTATATGGCTAATAGAAAAACTCCCTCCACTTCTGGAGGCTTATTTGGAGGTAACACTTCGAACACAGGCTCTTCACTGTTTGGTGGAAACACTAATCAGCAAAAGCCTTCCCTGTTTGGTTCTTCAAGTATTTTTTAAATCATTTCAAACTAATATCAACAAAAAATTCAGCCAATACCACAAGCTCGTTCGGAACGAATAATACCCAGAGCAATTCTTTATTCGGAGGCAATACAAACAACAATAATAATAACACGGTAAGTACAAGAGTTACGCGCTTGATTGAGATTAATTCAGGGTTCTTCTCTCTTCGGTCCTAAGCCGGCTACTACAGGCTTATTCGGGTCTACAACACAACAAACGCAGTCTTCATTTGGTGGTGCTTCCAGTTTCGGAACAAACACGAACACAAGTGTATGATCACTATTCCTAACTTTCTAATGAACTCAAATTTTTCTTAGGCTTTTGGTGGTGCTAATAACAACAATCAGCAATCATCTGTATTTGGAAACACATCTTTTGGCCAAAATACCTCTCAGCCGGCTACTGGGGGTGGGCTTTTTGGTAATGCAACTGTGAGTACCCCACCATTTTCAGTTTATAAACTAGAGTTTCAGACCACTGCATTTGGCCAGCCTGCTACGAATACTGGAGGAGGTCTTTTTGGTTCTAATAACAACAACACATCAAGTTCGTCTCTATTCGGAAATAAACCCGCAGCCGCTGCGACAAACACAGGATTCAGTTTTGGTAACAACAACGCAACAACGAGTTCATTTGGTAATTTTTTTAAAATGAGTTTATCTATTATGATTCGATTCAGGAAATACAGCTAATACTGGAAGTCTATTTGGTAATAATGCGGCTGCAAAGCCTGGAGGTTTATTCGGCACCAACACAACTACAAATACCAGTATGAGTTTATCAGTCTACTTTAATTTACATTATGAATTTCAGCTGGATCACTATTTGGAAACACTGCTCAGCCCGCCCAAAGCGGTGGTCTGTTTGGAACTGCCCCAGCAGCTCAAACCGGTGGACTTTTTGGAAACAATGCTGCACAGAACACATGTAAATTTTAACTATTTATTCTGATTCGTTACGGTTTAATTATAGCTGCTGTTGTGCAAAACCCTGCTACCGTTTCTGTTTCCGCTCCTGTTATAGTTTTGGGATCAGATGTGAATGAGACTCAGGTAAACCAGTAAGCTTTGAATGTCTTTTCACACTCCTGACAGGTTAAAATGGCCATGATCAATGCTCAGTTAGCTGCTAGTCCCTATGGAAACTCCCCATTGTTGAAGTTAACTAATGACGATTCAGACGATAAACCTAACCCTATCAGGTGAAGAATTTTGTAAAAGAAGTTTTCACAGTTTTTCTTGCAGTGTTTCTCGACAGATGAGATTTTTGGCTGCTAAGGCTAATGGAGTAAACTCTCCTTTGAACACTAGTAATGCCGCAGGCAACACCTCTATCAACACCAGCGCTAACACTTCCACGTTGAAAACATCTTTCCTTTCTGGGCAAGCACCAGTTGCTGGATCTAAGGTGATTATTTGACTTTAATGCAGTGTGAAGAAATTATTATAGCTTCGCCGTTCTAATGTACCAAGCGGTCAAGACTTGAACTACAAATCCATTCGTAAACCACCAACTCTTGGTAATGGTTTGAGAGACAAAGGCAGTGCCAATGTTTCTTTGAACGAATCTAGTTTGAACATCTCTAGAAATAAGTAGGCTCTTCTATTTTTTTCCCATACAAAAGTGAATATTTAGAATTACCGACGTTGATGCTGCCGTCGACAAAGCTTTGTCTAACAACGAAAACGTACCTGGAAGTCGCAAGAAGTCTAACATTAAATATCTGGATCTTAATTCTATTCGCAAAAGCGCTATTTCTAACTCACCAAAAGGAAGAACTAACGATCCTGATGAGCTTCCTTGTTATTCAGACAGTGTTGTAGAAGTCGCCAGGTAAAATGCATACCATTGTTCTTGAAAACATTTTTCTATCTTGTAGTCCTTCGTCAAACCCACGAGATGCAGCTCTCCAGCGGGAAGAAGCACTTCGTCGCGAGCCTCCCAAACTTGTCTTGGATCAGTCATCTCTCGATGAATCTGCTTTAGTAAGTCCATCATATACTATTTTATATATTTGATTTTGAAGAATACTTCGCAGTCATCTCAGATGAACAACAGTGCTCTAATTGATAAGAACAGTAGTGTCATTGTGTCTTCCCCAACTTCAGCCCCAGGTGGGGTTACGCTCTCTGGTCCCGACTACTATTGTGAACCTACCATTAAAGAAATGACTAATATGGTAAATTCATCAGTTGAAAGTATCTATTGTGTTTCATAGGTTGTCAATGGCAAAGTTATCATCCCCAACGGCTTGACTGTGGGAAGAGCATCTTATGGAAGTGTGTTCTGGCCAGGAAAGATTGAACTTTCAAATATCGCTCTTGATGAGGTAGGGCTCAAGCTTTCTGATAGTTGTGCAATTTGTTTTTCAGGTTATCGTGTTCCGCCACAAGGAAGTAACTGTGTACCCTGATGATTCAAAGAAACCTTCGCTTGGTGACGAGCTCAACAAAGAAGCAGAAGTCACTTTAGAGAGAGTATGGCATGTTGACAAGAACACCAAAGAAGAAATAAGAGTACATACAGTTTTAAAAAAACCTAAATTACTTATAAACAATTATAGGATCCATTGATTCTTGCCGATATTGGATGGAGAGATCGTCTAGAACGGGTTACCGCTAAAATGGGAGCTATTTTCAAGGATTATAGACCAGCTAGTGGAAGCTGGGTGTTCAAGGTGGAACACTTCAGTAAATATGGCCTACCAGTATGTTAGAAATGGCATGCAGAAAAGACATTATGATTTCAGGATAACGAAGGTGGAGATATGGTTTGCGATACTCCTCCTGTTCCTCCCAGAGATTCTGTTTTAACTGAAAGAAATGTGCAGTCTAAAGTTCAAAGAGCTAGTCTTCAGCTGGAGAAAGGAAAAAATTTCAATGAGGTGCGATTTCATGACTGAGATATGAGTGTAGTGATTGTTTTATCTCTGAGTGTTCTTAGTTTGCTTACTACTTGCCGTGAATAAACGTGTCCCCTATTTTGTATTCATATCGTAGACGTACTATAAATATTTTCTTCAGTCTGTCCTTGAGCATGAAGATGATGAAAACCAATATGTGGCAAAGATTTCGAAAAAACCACAGGTTAAATCCAAAAGGGTTCTGTATTAATCATATTGTTTAGAAGGTCTTGGGGCTTGGCGGAAACAACACATTCAACCTTCCTTTTGATGACGAAACTATGGATTACGGTGAAGAACAAGACATTATCGAGGAAGAGGTTCGTATTGATCAGATATCAAGAATTTATCTTTTCAGGCTCCACCTGAGAAAAAGCTGAAAACCGAAGATGTTGATATGATTTATGAAGAAACCAAGAGACTCTTAGAAGTCTTGAGCCCTGTTCATTATCATGCTCGTGTCGTTCCTAAAGCAATTGCTCCCGTTCGAGGCTTTACTGGTGGTGTTTCAGTGAGTGAATTTGTTGTTTTTATACTGAACTATGCTTGTATTACGTTTAGGCGAAAAATTCCATTAGAACTGATGGAACTAGTATTGACCTAGCTTCTGCTCACTCTAACGTCTCACGAGTTGGATGGGGAACAGGTAATTATTACCTTGTAGCCGCATTATTTTAATTTCTTCAGGTGGAACGTATGTAGTGAGTCTCCAACCTCATTGCAACAGTGTCTATGTTAAATCATTGAACTGGGCCACAGAAGGCTGTCAGGTAGAGTTCTATCTTTCTTGCTAGAAGTAATTTACTTTTTCACGGTTCAGAACTATATTTCTGATATGCTTGAACACAACTCCCGACTCTCACAATTTATTAAAAGGAATCGCTCGATTTCTGCTAAAGTAAATTTGATAGGATGTTTCTTCATTGTTAATACGATTCTTAGGTACGACACTTGGAGTTAGATGGACAAGAAGTTTCCCCAAGAATCAAACCCACTGCTGATCATGCTGAACTCATCGACTCGTTCCTCGCTACATCCAAGCAAAGTATGTTTCAAATATGAATGAACTGATCTAAAAAGTCATGTTAATCTAGGCGGGTTCTCAGAAGATACACGTGTATGGAAGCTGTGTAAAGCCCTCTTTCCACAAAACCGCGGACTGAAAGATGACAACGATAAGATTGAAGATGTATCCTTGTGGCTCACCGAAGAGATAGCTAAAGAGAAAAGGATGCCACCAAGTGTTGGAAGAGGTAAGCATGACATTGTTACTCTCAACAAATTTTGTTAGGTTCTTCTGTATGGAACGCATTGTGTGATGGCCAACTTTCCAAAGCTATTGACTCAGCATTCAACGAGAAGCTTCACCACTTGGCGACCTATCTCTCTCTTTTCCAAATTGATCCAGCTGCTACACAAATGTACTTCGAGGAACAAGTAAGTTTGAACTAGGAGTCCCTGTAGTCAGTTTTCTAGATTGATTTCTGGAAGTCAACTAATTCTTTGGCGTTTGTGGATGTACCTGTTCTCAAAGTATATCTCTTACTTGCTGGAAGATCATCCATAGACAGAAAGGTCAAAGGAAAGACCGAAGTTGTCAACTGCTTAGAAGGGCTAACTTGGAAACAGTCTGTTGGAGTTCATGTTTGGTGGCTTAGAGGAGTTCGAACCTTTGAAGAATCCATGAGTCATGCTCTGAAAATCGTGCCCGCACCTAATAGAGTGGACGATATTTTTTTCCAACAAGTATTGATATATATCATATAACAATTATTCGTCAATTTCTAGATTTTCGCTCTTGCCTGTGATCCAACTTATCGTGTTGAAGCTGTACTCGATGCTGCCGATATGCTTTGTGACAGCCCCTTGGACTTCCATCTTAGGTAATCCCTCTTGTTAGCTGTCATATAATCTTATTTTCTCTAAGTTGGCACTTGTGGTCTGTTCTTCGATCAGTGGGTTACAATACTATGCCATCTGAAGCTGAGCAACGTTTACATATCTCATACTCAGAACAATTAATCGCTTGTGGATTGCACGATTTAGCTCTTTTCGTACTTAGTCATATTAGTAACAACCAATGGTAAGTATAATAGATCTCGGTGTTCTCTCAAGTCTCATTTAGTCGAGCATCATCCATGAGAGATTGTCTAGAAAGAATCGCGCCTCATTCGAGTTCGAATCTCTATGATAAAATAAATCATGAATTCTACGTTCCAAAGCAGTGGATTGCTGAAGCGAAACTTGTCGCAGCACTGGTCAGTTCACTTCACCACGCTCTTCTTTACTATTCTTCCAGGCTTCCAAAAATAATGAGAAAGCTTGCATTTATGCCATTGAAGCCGGAGATTTGCAAACAGCCCATAGACTGTTTGTTGAAGATGTCGCACCAAACTTTGTTGTGTTGGGAGAAACTAGTCGATTGATTGAATTTGTTAAGAAATTCGCTCCTTATTCGGACGCCATACAGGTAATCCAAATATATATATACTGTTTTTCTAAACCGGATGTTATTCAGTCCTGGGGACAGAACGGTCAAATCTATGCTGATTATGCCGAGTTCTCCACGATGTGTAAAGTAGATTGTGATGTAAGTTGTACTACTGTAATATCAATTACTTATTTGGTTTAGGAAACTGTCATATCTGAGTTATTGACAACCTTGCAATCTAGACTCAGAGCCCCTGTTTTTAATACTCCGCTACAAAGGTAAGCAACACATAAAGTCAGTAGTTACATCTATCTGTAGGTTGGCGGCTCAGAACATGTCTCTTGAAATAGTGGAAGTGCTGAAACTTTTTGGAAGAGTGTCGTTCGAGTTTCCCCTGAATCCATCGCAAGTTGATAAGGTAACGCGCCAACTTGTTTGATTTTGTTTTCACTGATGTTGTTGTCAGTATCTGTTATTATTACTTTTTTTACTATATTATTATAATTATAATGAATAGTATTATTTCTATTACCATAATTGTGATACGTTAAGTAAGTCACGAAAGTTTCGCCGGTATATCATCGTCAGTTCTAAATTCTTGTTGTGTTTGAGTATCACCAATTATTGAAAATCGTAAAAGATTATGTTATCTGAAATTATAAATGAACATTAGGCTTTTTCTACCGATATCTACCAGCTGTACTATGTATATAACTTTAATTTTTCAGGCAGTAACTCAGAGCGTAGAGTAAAAATATCTGACGAGTATAAGATGCCACCGACGAAAAACTCCCGCGGTTGTAAAATAATTAAAATTCAATTATTCTGTTAACGTATCGAACGGTTGCATTCATGGGTTGCATTCACCCTCACCCCCTCTAATTTGTACCATTATTCCCTTTTCATACAATGTCTTCCATTAATTCAGATTTTTCGAAATAGGATTGAAATGTAGTGTTTGTGTCCAATACTCGATGAATAATTTTATGAAGTGAGATTAACACCTGCTGTCTTTGAAAGACATAAACCAAGTTTTGAAATTCGTATATTAAAACTTCGCTGTGATGTGTTTAGACTTGGACGAAGCGAACTATGCACTGTATATAAAAGTAAGACAGTGCATGTTCCTCATAGCAGCTTTCCTGTCAATAATATCTTTTTATATTGTTCTTAAGCATTCCTCACAAAGCTTAAAGCACTACAAGAATATTCTATTACTTCATTTGATATGGTATAACCGAGTTTTATCCGTTTTCATTTTTTGTTCAGTTTTTTACTTCACGATTGTCTATCGAGTCTTATGATAACATGGAGAAGTTATCCTACCATGTTAGCGTATCGCCAGTTGGGTCTCTTAACTTATACAAGTATCCCCCTATATATAGCACTCATTCCCTTGGGAGGTGTCGTTACAGGTATTATATTTAGAAGTGGCGTTTTTACATCGGTTTTCTTTCAGAAATATTTGGGTTGTACCATTATATGATTCTACATAGAACACAAACCTTACTACCTAATGATCATTTCTTCAAGCTCAGAGGAAAGGGAGCTACCTACTTTCGATTCATCTCATACAATACTTGGCTGATTGGTGTTGCATTTGTTCTGCTAGTGTTTACGAGTGATGAAGAACTCAAGCTAGAACAGTTGAGAGTATTCTTTGTTCTCTCAGACATCTTCTACTCTTATTGCATTTCCAGGAATTTGACATATGCGAAAACTTTGAAAGCATGATACAATCAAAAGATGTTGTCATCCTAAACTATAGATGGTCACCTTATGCTACATTTGCTGTTTGCGTCTTTTTTGCATATATGATATCAGCATATTTAACAAGTTTTTGTCTATCTGTTGGCCTTACTAAGGAATCTAGAAAAATAATGTCGGACAAAACGAAACAAGCTCATAGAATCTTGCTGATGTCATTATTTCATCAGGTGTTCTTTGTACAGTTTTGTAGTAAAAAAACAAAGACACTTCAGACGTTTGTACCATTGATGTTGATGATAGTTCCCGCTGTGATTATGTACGTTGGAAAAAACACGGGTGAGATCATAACGATTTGAAATAATCGCTTCAATTTAGTGACAGAACAGATTGCTATGTTTTTCTACAGCTATCAAGGCATATCGAACACATTTTCACTTCTACTTGCCCACAGAGATTATCGTCTACTGCTGAAGGAATGGGCATCACGCTTCCTGTGCTTCAGTTTGTCTTCGCAACTACTACTCATACGTTTTTCATTTTCTATAGATCAGAAATCGTCTCCGTCACACTCGGATCAAAATTCTAGAAATCAAGCATAGTATTTTCAAGACGTTGTTTTGCCAAATTGAGCTTTGCCTAGTTGGGCAATTTTAATTTCAAAACGAGAATATTTGAACTGCGTCTGTCATGCTCGATACGAATGAATATTTGATATATGATTTTCATTATAATATAATGCAAGAAAAATACTCAGATGTTGAACTGTGTTATCAAAATACTGACAGTCTCATATATGACATCAAAGACTGCGATGTCTACAAAGATATGGAAAAAGATATCTATTTCGAAGATATTTCGATTTCAGTGATCATCCGGAAGACCATGTACTAAGTAGAGATAAGAATAAAAAAGCAAAAATTATTGCGAAGAGTTCTCCCAAAGAGTGGCCTAGCAGAGACGCAGAGGACATGCGGTGGGGGTGCGAAACAGTGGCTCTAGCCCGGATGATGACATAAAAATTCGGAGCGCTCTGTGCAACCATGATCTAACTGTAAGTTTGACGATATTCCTTTTTTTCAGTTTTTTTTGCTACATAATAATGAAAGAACATGGTTGATCAGATATTTTCCAAAACTTTGTGCTAGACCGACTAGAACTTAATTTCTGAAATTTTCCACTAGAGATATATTTCTTGTGAGATTGTGATTATTTTTAAAAAACGTGACCCGGACCAATCGGCAGAATGAACAACTTCTTGTTCTACCTATTTTTAGTAATTTCTCAAAAATGACGAGTTTTCCGTTAGCTGAGGCATATTTTTGCTTTGCAAAAAATAAAAATAACCAAAAACTGTAGAAAACGTCATTTTGGGTAAAAACGTGGCCCAGAAACAATATTTTCCATACTAATAACTGTGTCTGTCTATCATGCTTAATACAAATTATTATTTGATGTGAGATGTCTTTGAATTCGAGTTATGTTCTATTTAGACACTGTAACGTTACAATCATCCGGTATAGTAAGGATTTATTTCCAGTTATTCTGTCATTTTGTCATTTCAACAAGCCCTCATCTCTTAGTTTGAATCTGATTGTTATCAATTTCGGGTATTTGTTCAGCAGGTTACTACAATTGTTATCCCGGAATTTTGCAATCGACTAGTTCTTAGCAACTTGTACTTTTTCCATAAATGTGATATGCAATCTCAACTCTAGAAGAAGGACACATTTGATGGGCTCAGCACTCACGTTGAATCAAGAAATCAGTCATATATGAAATGAAGTACCGTGTTGTATAGCTTTCATGCTATGCACGACCGCTCTACTAGGCAAAAGAAACAGGAATGAAACGAAAGTCTCACATTCCTGGAAGAAGCCATTCTCAGTTGTGCAACTCGTTTTCATTTTGTGCATCTGATCCGACTTATCGGTTGTGCTGTTAGTAAAGAAGAATGTATCATAAACGTGTAAATGTTCTGAGACTTAATCTTGTTATTCCTATTGTAACTTCGTTTGAATAAATTGTTTCGAAGAGTTTCACCTATTACTTCATTAAACTTTCAAATGAGCAAGGTATGTGTCATTATTGATAAATATGGAAATGGCTTAACTATAAACTACAGCTGAACCTATTACAAGTTATGATGCAATAGATATCCGAGTTTAGTTCTGGAAAATATCTCGGAGCACATTTCATCATATGATGTAAGAGCTCTTTTGCCAAAATTGGAAAATTTTTGGATTTTTTGATTACAGTGGATGATGCAATCGGTTTTTTGCCAAGAAAGGAAAGTTTTGGATTTATCCGGATTACAGTGGATGATGCAATCAATTTTTCCCAAAACTCAAGAAAAGTTACTTTGAGTATTGCGGGGGATGATGCAATCTTTTGGAAATCGATTTGATCAGAGTTTGAAGTCTGAGCATTGAGATTAGTAATGTAACCTTTACTTGGAATAATGAAGTAATGCTATGCAATGTAAACGAGGTATTTGATTATTCAATTTGTTCTTGCAAACTTCAATCAGGTAAAATAGATTTCACTTCAACTTTCAATATTAAATTTAAAACTTCTGAATAGTTCCATCATCTCGTTAAAAGTATAATAGTAAGTGCACGACAGCAAAGAACTTGTCGCAGAAGTGTTCCATGTTCAGACATTTCTGTTTTCATCTGAGAGTGCTCAATGACACAACTTTAAGAAATACAACGACAACCTTCTTCTGGTGATAAGTTACCATATGGGGAAGTCCTGCGGTTACTATAAAGATGTTGAATATGATGTGAGTGTGGGTGTTTTGACCGGACTGTTAACCGGTAACGTTCTAAAGATTACTACTGGGAAGGCAGTTTCCGATTATACTTTAAGAAATCAACTTTTATAAATATCAAATATCTTCATGAAGTTCGCTCTTAAAAAATATGAAATTGGCCATCTGAATATTACAGAATATCCCTGCAAAAGCGTCATAGTTTAGAGAATCGTATGGGATTGCAGGAACAGGGTGCATCACAGAGAAAAGTGAATGAAGATAAACAGGAAAATATTTACAAAACCCGTAAAAATGGTATGAATGAACAAGAAAAAAACCTAAAAAAAAGAAATTCACATGTTGAGTTAGGACTAGCTCTTTGAAGAGTAAATGGATTATGTTAGAACTTGTAGTAAATTACTATATTTTTTCAACTCCATTCTTTGGCACATAGTTAGGCAGGGGATCAATGTTGTGGACACCGTGTCTGCTTAAGCAGCTGTTAAAGACACCCATCTAAAAAAAATAACATTATAAAGTTATAAGTTGATATCACAAACCCAATAAAAAGTGAGTACGAAACCGACGATCAAAGTTAAGAACCCGACAAACATGAAGAACTTGGCGACGATCAGGGCCAATCTGTCAAGAAGATTTGTTAGGAGCCTTGCTAACAAGATAATGTAATACCTTTCAGTCTCAATTAGCTCACTTCTGAGCATATTCAATGAATTATTATCAATTTCAACGTCTTCATGTACAATCAGCACCGGGACTATCGATGACTTCATCTTCTTCAAGTTAGCACTGCAAGGAACAGGTTAACTATCAAAAATCAAATTTAATAACTAACGGGAATTTTATGTCTTTGCCCTTCCACATTTCGATATTAACTTGAGAACGTCGCTGAGCTTTGAGCACCACACCAGTTCTCTACATAAGAATTGATCTTAGATTGAAAGATCAGAACATACCGGCTCTATATCGACAATGATGGAATCCCTAGCTACTTCTGACTTATTGAGTCCAACGACGGATTGCGAAACTTCGTCGTCAGCATATAAAAAGTTAGGAAGTGAGATAATTATAGGAGGCTGGCCTAGAAAAGACAATTTCTCTAATTTCATCAAAACCAATAACTTACTTCTTTGGCATTTTGAAATCTCTAATAAACCCTTTGGCCAACAGTCATCAGATTCTCCTTGGGATGAGAAGAATCGTTTCTCAGTCGGATTACAGAAGCCCTTGTTTTCATTCAAAGATGAATCGAACACAGAGGCTGGGAGAACGAAACGATAGGCTGGGATGCCCTTGTACTCGATTTCTTCTTCGAAGTCCAGATATATGGAACTGAAATATATTTAATTAATGCGATATATAAACAAAGCACGTACCGACAAAGCTGTTCAACGAACACCCATAATCGGTCTTGTTTCTTAATGAATGGTGGGAATAAAGCGCCAGCACTTCCTCGTAAAATTCGGGCATCTTTAGAGGACCACCTGAACACATCGGAAATCAATCAAAGAAATTCCGGATCAAACTGACCAAGATTCATCAAGAATCGATTTATCATTCCATGTTAGTACTCGTCCCAAAGTTTCGACAGACTGGCTTCCATCAGATATTTCGAAAGTCGAGCCGATAGTGTTATTTTTCTAAAAGAAATCTTTCATTTCAGATGATTCAAATGCAACCGGTTGGTGAAAGCGTTTAGAAAAAAATGAAAATTAACCAATTTACAGGTGCTTACCTCGAAAAAGAATCCAATTCGATCAGGTAAGTCGAGAATGGAGTCGCAAACGAAGTTCATGAAGGGGATGTCACATACCTACAGAAAGAGATTAACAAACGAAACTATTATTATGTCTTACTTTATCCAAGAATGGATCTTTGTAACCATCGAATAACAACTCTCCCACTTCAACTTCAAGGAAAGCTGTTTGAGAAAGAAGTGTTGTGGCTGCTGCTTCCATTCCCGGAGTTGATGCGGCTTCGACAAACTTCTTAAAAAAAACAGTTGAAAAAGAATGGGAATTGCCACTCGCCTGATAAATCATATTAGGAACCCAGACTCTATTGCCAAGAATACAGGTTAGACAAGACAATTCAGGATCAAAATGATAGTTTGAAATTATTTTATATTTTACTTTTCCATCCTTAACTCCAATTACCTAAAACTAGAATATAGTTTTACATGGAAGTGGGAGAAATACCTTATGCTCCATTTTTTCTCTGAAAGTATAAGGACCCATTCCCGTTACAACAGGTTTATCCCCTGCCATGAACTCGTCTGGGTTCTTAACGGAATACACATAAAGTTTGAATAACATATTATATTTTGGAGTCTTCCATTCTTCCATCAAGCGACTACCTTCCAACAGCTGGGAATTCTTTAAAACAGAAACATAACGGAAGACCAAAGGATCAAACAGTTACCTCGCGTATTTTGGAATCAACAACGAATGGGATGATGAAAAAGTATAAAGAAAGGCCGAGGATTAGAAGAAGGAATCCGAGTCCCACAATCAGGGAACAGACAGTCCTCCATCGCCACTGTGTGGGTTTTTTCTCAGGCATCTGTAAGAACGATTTAAATTTTCAAAATTAAATATGATAATAAAAATTAAAGAAGTCGGCTGTTTACATAAAGGTCACTCTTGCTCCCCCAATTCAGCGGAAGACTCCGCCTCTATTTGGGCGCGCATGAGCAGCCTTACGTACATTTTGAGAGAATGATAGATGGTTTATTAAATACAGTAAGCCAAGTACAATAGTAGAAAAAAGTAAAAACGCTCGATTGGTTGAAGCTTAGCTAAGCAACTTAGGTTAGATTTTCGCTGTTGGAATCAATAAAGAAGGTTAGTCGAACCGGAGTTACCTCTTCAACCGCCTGAAACGATGATTCCTCTTTCAGACACGCAGAACGTGTAGCTTAGTAGAGAGTAACATCTATACGGGCAATTTCAGAGAATTAAAAAAGCAAAAATGAATTAGTATATGAACAAGCAATATGCTTCCAGGTGAGAGGAGCCTAATGGAGGAGAGGGAGGAGGGTTACCTTGAAATAAGCAACTCCTCAAAAGAATACAAGAATTAGAAAAAAAAAACAAAATACTAAGATGGTGCACCTATAAAACCTGTTCTCGGTATTAGAGTGAAATCTGTTCAATCTTAAGTAAAACATAATATTCGAGAGAAAGTACTTAATGTGAAGCTGTTGTTGTGTTGTAACATGTGTGAGCAAAATAACAAATGAAAAAAAAACAAAAAGAAAAAGGCTTTCCTGACCTACTTCTACAAGTTTTGAGGTCGTTCAAACAGAAAGAGAAGATGGATCAAAATGAAATGATGCGGATCGAGCTGAATCAGTTCCAACCATTGGTGGTTGGGAATGGTTGGGAGGGGGGGGGAGGCAAAAGATGCAGACTAGACAACCGTCTAATCCAGCTGTGAACGAACAATCCGTCGAAGCTAGGACTTGGCTGGTATAGTATATCAGGATGATAACAATAATGATAATCAAACGACAATTTTGTTTTAAAGAGAAAACATGAATGTGACTCATAAAACGTTGAGGAAAACTGAAAAACAGACTGATTGAACGGATGGAACAATACGGAACAACTGTCAAAAAATGTATAAAGTTCTTCCACATTTGCTTGCCTTAGGAAGCAAAAAACATCTGAAGAAGTTGAAAATCGAACGGTTAAGGAAAACAGCAAAACAGAATGAAAAACAGTGGAACTAATGATCGACTGAAATCACGTTTTGCGACCTGTCCGAGCTATTCATAGGGTAATATAGCAAAAATAGTCATTTACAAAAATTGAGAAATATCAGAAACTTGCCCTAGCTTCGCCTCTTCACCGATGAGACTGAGAACTAACTGACCATAAAAGGAGATATATTCGCAGACTTGATTTGGACAGGATAGATATTCGAAACGAACAATTAAACGCTCCAAAGACAAATTGATTAAAGTTTGTTCAAAACATAAGCTGTATGATACCAGAAAGTAGGAAACTAGCATTTGACTATTTGAATGAATGGGAAAGAAGGAAAATGGGAACAATCAGGTGAGGACGAGGTCAACCTCGGACTCAGTACGTTAAAAAGATCGCCTGAGACTTGATCCAGCGGCTATTGAAAAAAGTAAAATCAATTGTGAATATCGAAACCGATCGTATGAGGTCAAGGAATATACAAAACATGCAACAAAAAACATATTTAAATCGTACTTTTCATTAGTTTAGTTAAAGCGTTTTTGATTTTTCCGTCCTTGAGCATGTCTATACGATTCTCATCAGAGCATAACAACTGTTCGCTAGCTCTAGAAGATAACTGGTAAAGAGGCACGTTATAACAAACAGAAATGAGGAATAGAATACTTTAATCTCCATACTTTACCTGAAATGAAGGAAGATGGGGGCACAAGTCACATTTCAAACCGGTTCCGAGTGATCGGATGGAAGAAACGTGAGTGAGAGGGAAATCGAAGAGATGGAGGGATAATCTTGCCTAATAAAACGAAAACTGTGTCTCGCGTTAATATAAGAAGTTTGTAGGCTGGTATCAAAAGGCAAATGACATCATCAACTAATGATGTGATGTCTGTACAGCATGAAAGATATACATCGTCATTGGAATGGCACAAGTGCATATAACCTGTTCTCGACCATATCATCAAAATAAATTTTTTGAATTGCTTAAGTGCTTTACAGAAATATATTTATTATTACCACCCTCTTCTGGAGATTATAAATATAAATTAGAATATCACATTTCCAGGAACTAGACGTTGCACAATTAATTACAGGAATAAGGAACTACGAGTTGTTGGCACCCACTGGCATTCGTGCTTCCGTTGCGGTTGGATTACTTGGAGGACTGCCTGCCCTAGGGCTTGTAGCACCAGAATGTACAACAACTTCAGTCTGAAAAAGAACGAGTTCGTCAAAATATGCTAATTCATCTGCGATGTAACGATTTTATTTTTATTTTTTGTTTCGTGCAGAGGTCGATGACCAGGCAATAACTTCTTGAACTTATACGAGATGTTTTCGGAGGAACTCACCAATTCAACAATTTCCACAGGGGGAGGAACAGCAACTCCAGTAGTTATTGTTGTAGGGATAGTTTCCTGAAGCAATAATTCAGACAAAAACTGCAAACACGAATACCTGATAAGCAGTTGGTGCAGCTGGAGCCAGTTGTACTCTCGATAACATTGATGGAACATTACCCAAAGAGTTATTTATTTGTTGTTGAAGAACAGCAGGACTGGAAAGACGAACATTAGAATCTATTACTATTAAGCGAGATATCTTGAGCGTATTCTATTCAAAACGGAATTCGCGTAATCTTACTTTGGTGTAGGAAGTACTGCAGGAGGGTTAGGAATGATATCTCTAATCAACTGTGGTAGAACCGATGACATTTTAGTTGTTGTTATTTCGTATAAACCGGGTATAGTACTGAACAGTCCAGTATTATCGAGAACCAGAAGCATATTCTTGAAGGACTCGGGAACGACCTTGAAAGGTTTGTAATGTAATGCACCGAAACAACTACCCACCTCATTCAAATTTCCACAACTGTCAATTCGGAAATAGCGCTCCATGAAATCTAGTAAACGAAGCCACAAGGCAGGGAAAGAAGGCAATGATGATAAAGCACTGAAAAAAACAACAAATTTTAAAAGTGAAACTTAGAATTATTAACCTAAGGTGATTCAATAATGTTTTTGAAACTATTTGCATAGCGCGGACCCGCGTGTCTTCCATTCCGATGATGTCCATTGGTGAAAACGGTTCGAGAAGTTTGGTTAGAAGAGGGAACAAAACCTGGAACAAAAACCCTACTAAAAATAACGCTAAAATCTTCAAACCTCAGAGAAACAAGATTCCCATTCTTCTGCTCCCAAGTTTCCCATAATAGCTGGCATGAACAATCTTTGGAGATGGTTCAAAGCACTAGCTCTGACGGCTCTTCTACAGTCACAACCTAATCTGGCTACAGCTTGTAGCAGTGGTTTCCACACTTGTGTCCATAAAGACCTAAGAGAAGCATCTACCTGAAAAAACTGCATTTCACGGACTACAGAAGAAAACACTTGCCATAGCGTTACTAGTTGACCACTGGGTGAGAATACCCGGTGCTAAGCTATGAACTGTTGTGCATAGGTCAAGAAGTTGGAGGGAGACTTGTTGATAACTCGACGAAAGTTGGTTCTCATCCTTATTAGTTTCATCATCTTCTACTACATCAGTCGTTAACTCCTTCTAGAACCATTAACCAATACGAATAATATTTGTTTTATTGCTCACCTTTTCACTTCTCGTTCCATGGGATTTGGCTTTGTGGATGCTTCCGGGTGCATTAGGTTTCAAGAAATTTTGAGCTTCACCGGAGAGCGGAGCTCCAGCATATCTGAATTAGCAACAATAACTAGCTACAATCCTTTCCACCTACCTTCCACCATCTAATCCAGCTTCTACCATAGCCCTTAAACAATGAATGCTGGATTCTAAATTATCAGGAGTGACATGAACAGCATCACGTAGAAGGAACGCCAAGCAGTCCGCAATCTGAACAGCTCAAGCTGATGCTAATCAAAAGTACTGAAAATATACCTTTATAAAAGAGGCGGGTTCGTGTCTTCCTAAGTTGGGACATAAGACTAATGATCCTCGGCCTAAAGACGGCTTATCCGATCCTAACGCTCTGAGAGCATCTTGGCTTGCTCGAGCGGCATCACCATGATCTAGATAAATCCAATCACGACTTTGAGAAAGTGATTGTGAACTACCTCCAGTGTCGACAACTTCTGTAAAACAAACAATAAAATAAAAAAATAATATTTTTGAAACTTACGGTTATCTTTTGGTAACCGAGGGACGTCGGAAGTGTAGCCTCTGTCTTCGAAAGTGGACCTGTTGTTTCCATACTCGAAATCGGAATATGCCTTTCTTTCAGACTCAGGAGAATGATCAGATGTGACATCCTCAGGAAGAAGAGCTGCTCCTGAAGCTTCCATGAGCGCGAATAGAATATTCCAATGTTCCTTCTTGTGTAGGTTGGCAGCATTATTGTGTAGTAATTCATGTAGACCATAAGCAATTTGACGAGAAAATACAAACATAGCACGAGGTGATAACTTCTGAAACAATCAGTTCGACCATGCAATTACAAAAAACCAAACCAAAAGCAAGGATAATGATTGAAGAACTTCATCCGAAACAGTGTTGTCACGGAATAAATTCCTATTGGCAAGTCTTAAGAGCCCGACGACGGATCTTTCAACAAGAACCTAAAGGTTGTATTTATGAAATACGATGAGCGATACAACTCACCGGGCAACGACCAAATCTAGAAGACAGAAGCCATTCCAGATGACGATAGACTGTAGGCCAAATGACAGTCAATCGATCCTGGGCCAAGAAAATAATAAGAATTTGATATCACTACAGTTACCTTATTCTCTAAAGAAACTGATACGATCAGTTCGAGATAAAAAACTAAAGCATCCTCATCTTCTTCCGACAGAACTCCCTAAAGTGGTTTCTAAGACAAAGCTTCAAAAAGTATTCCAACCTGTTTCTGTTCATCAGAAGATTCAACCACTGAGCGGCTGGAGTGAACCAGAGATGACAAAAGCTCTGATAGAGCTGCAGATGTGAGATACTTGCTATCAGTTACTATTTGAGAAGGTTTACAATCTGATATAATCGCTTGTGCCAACTGGAAGAAAAAATTTTCATTTCTTTGCAATTAACCAGTCAACTACCTTCATAGCATTCACTTCGTCATTAGAAGGTTTTTTCTTTTCCGATTCAGCTGCTGATCCACCTAAACCAAACCAAGAAAGAAGTCCGGATTCATTGCGAGAAGAGACAACTTCACGAGACCTAATAGAAACATGAACAAGGCTTTTGAATCAAATTCTTACTTATAATGAGCTCTGATTATGGATACCCAGCCCTTCTCAGATACAAAGTCATCAACCTCAGTCAGTTCCGAGGGAAGCAAACGAGAGTAGAATAGATGGAGTAGGACATCAAGAACATTGCGCCAACCCTGAAGATACACACTTTGTAATAGATCGCAATGTGGACTAACCTCTTTCAAAATATCACCATGTTGATGAACCAACTCGAAAATAACACGAGTAGCCTCTTGAGCTTTCTTATTTGTTCCATAACTGATGGCGATGATTTCAGGTGAATTTTGAGGAAGATGATCCAATGTGCTACGTTTTCTAACCTCCAGATGCTCTTCCGTACCTAAGTAGAATTTACATAATCCGGCAGTGACTTAAGTGACTCACCTTCGTTTCTAGATGACAGTGAACTGAATTTGCAGAGATGGATAATCAGGTTATCAAACACATCTTTCATACCAAAGTGTGAGGCGATTGAGGCACACATACGGTAACCATTGAGAGCCCTCTGAATGACACGATAGGTTACGTTTCAGAGCTTGACTTACCTTCAGTATGATATCATGTTCTGATTTGTCGAACATATAGCTAAGTGCAGCGATTGCTGGTCCCCAAACTAGTGAGAATAGAGCATAATCGTTCCACCCAGTTGGAGCATGAACGAACAAGCCCTCGGTAGATTCTCCACGTCTCAGCAAAACTTTCCATAGATAGTTCTCTTTGACAAGTCCCTTCTGTTCTGCGGGCATGACAATTTCATCGCTCCTGAAAAAAACCACGACATTATGATATAACCGAGCCTGGCTCACTTAATGGCGTAGTATATTTCTTCCAACATTTTTGGTTCAAAATCTTTAGAACCGTTTGTTCCTGATAAATTACGTTTGAAGCAATCTACAGTCATGGGAGGTTGATTTCGTTTCACCTAGAATATTTTTATGACAGGACCGTAATGTTGACGACCGACAAACCTGAGGATTATGCTGATCTGTGTTGAGCAAAATAATTCCATACGAAAGAGTGAAGGCAGCATCAACGTGGTTGAATGGTTCATTATTCGCCTTGTACCACTGGTCAGAGAAATGCTGCATAACCATTGAAATTTCTGCAGCTTCTCCAGGAAGTCGGAAAGTCTCAAGGAAGATACGAAGAGCTTCATCCAATCGTGTATTTTCAAACGGCAGTGATTTCACGAAAGCTTGTAAGACCTTAACAGAAAAATCAATACTTTCAAACTTTCAACTAAACAAACATCAGCATTCTTTCTGCTACAAATATAATCAGCAATTTTCTTTTTATCCAAATGAGGATCGGAACGAAGCCAATTAACAACGCTCTCAGGTTCAGATCCGAGTAGCCCTTTTGTTCTCAAGAAATTGATACCTTAACAGACAAACTGAAGAACTTGCTCTGATAAGATTGTTTACCATCTTTTGGATTCTGGTTAAACTTGTCAGTTGCTTCAGCAATAATCCGCTTTCGATCCTTCTGTTCAAGAACATCAGTCATTGAAGGCATTTTCTCCGAAGGGGCATGTCTGTTACTTCTAAGAACAACAGTTGTAATAGACTCATTTCCCATTACTAGAAGACGACAGAGGTTATGAGAAAAATAAGAAAATCCTACTCTTTTCTGGCGTGGCCTGATCTCCATTCAAGATTTTTTTACCTAAGTCATAACCACTAAGAATGGGCAAATCTAGCTGAGCAGAACGTGGACTGAAATTTGAAATGAACAACGTTGAGCCTCAACATGACATACTCATTGTCAGGAATGGATCCTCCAGCTTGTCTGCATATACAGTTCTTATCGATGGTATCAATAACTACTAGTAAGGCATCCAAAGAAAGGAGAGAAGATGGACGAAGCCCAGAGACAGGGAAAGACATATCAGCCAGCAGTTTAGCCAATTCTTCGAATATATTACTGAAAGTATACGAGTGAATTACAACACTGTCTCAAAGCTCACCTGCAGTATAAGTCACAGTCATAGTTCAAGTACAGCTCTGTGACAAGACCCGGAATTCTCCATAACTGGACAATGGATTCCAATGCCATTTCCTTACGTTCACTCGAATTCTATAAAATTCCGTACTAACTATACTTTATTGCTGATCTATACTAACCTGTTCATTCAAAACAATCGATTTGAGCTCATGTAGATAAGATTCAAGTTGAAACTTCAAATGACTTCTCATCGACTCGAAAAGTAAGAAACACACGCGGTTAGTGGCGGCAAGCACCGGTAACTTCTGTGTTTCCAATAACTGAATGAAATGAAACGTGAAAAAACATTATATAATACTCTGCTAACCTTCAATAAAGCTCTACATAGATTATCCTTGATATATGTCATTAAGAAAGAATAGCTGGAGAGATGATCAGCAGCAGCCTTAATTTCAAAACTTAATTGTAACTTTGATTTAATTTCAAACTTCGAAAGCCACTGTTATCAGATTTAATCCTAACAAGACCATAGACTCTGTGTTTTGACGGTCAACTGGATTAGCTATAGATATCAAAAACCTGAAAATTCCAATATTCATTATATAAAACTCAAAATGACAAACCGAAGAAGCTCTGTGCAACATGGCAAGCCGTAAGGCATTTCTGTCAAATCAAAATCAGTAGATTCATCATCTGATTTTTTAGACTTAGAAAGAGCTGTAGACTTAACTGGAGTTACTGCATCCTACAAAATTTATGTTTAAAAATAGTAATGAAAGTGAAATGTCATACGCTTTTAGCTGCTTGATCACCATCGCTTTCACTATCAGCATCTCCTGTGTTGTCATCTTGGTTAGCAATATCACCAGTGTCGGAAGGCGAAGTGACTACATCATATTCTAAACTTGTGCATTGAGGAATGGTAACAATCCTGAGACATACGACTTGTTAGAGAAGTAGCGTTAGATTCGACAGATGTGGTTGGTTCGTTCATGATTTCTTGCGAAGCCAAATTGACAGGAGCATCGCTTAATACTTCGAGATCTTCCTGCGAAATAAGAAAATAACTTTATGAAAACTATCTTAAGAGAACCTCAACATCAGTATCGTCAGCTGTAGGCTCTGCAGTAGCTCTTCTTCTTCTTTTCTTTTTATCTCCTTTAGCATTCATTACTAACTTACGATAGTAAGGATGACGAACATCTTCATGGAAGGTTGGTAATCTTGTGAAGATGAGCTAAATGTTCAATTCGAATAATGTTCAAACTATTTGAATACCTGAGTCATATCGCTTAGAGTAGCTTCCGCAGCTTTTCTCAATAATGGTGAGAGGTCTCCTTCGAAAGCTATTCTAAAACTGGACTGCATCATCTCGCAAACAGCTTCATTCGAGAGCAAGCTCCCAGGTGGAGAAAGCAGCAAAGAGCGTAAAACCTACACGAATTATGAATCATGTGTTGATAGTTAACTTACGTGTAAGATTTTATAAAGAACGCATTCATCACTTCCTGTGCTTTTACCACCAATGAACTTCGTTTGGACAACTGCGGTTGCGATAGCTCCCACAGCTTTTCCAGCTTTTATACTGAATTGTTGGCTTAGAAATAATTTTGAAAAAAGTAATCCTACCTACTAGCATCTATCAAACCATAACTCAAAAACTTCCCGACAGAAGCAAGAGCTGCTTCTGTTATGGGACCGTTAGTATTCTGTGCTTTAATAACATCAAGGAAAGGGGATAAGTATGTTAAAGGATTCATATCCCCCAAATCAGCAACCTGAAGAAAATTATATGAACGTTGTGTAAAATGGGAGAAACAAACAGTATTGAGAACATCTTTCAAATCAGCAAAGTTTCTCAAAAGAGGATCTGTATCTTCTAATGAGGGAGGCTGTTGTGATACTTGAAACTGTCTGAAACGGGAGAAATTTATATTTTTCTGTAACATTAACATACCTTCTGGCCTTGTTCAACAGGGCAACGACCGTGTTGGCTTCGCCAAGCACGATGTATATCCCGTTCGTGGCCATACAATTTTTACCTTAAACAACATTTTAAAAAGAAATTGCATAAAAAGAAAGTATGAAACTGTTGAAACAGATAAGAAGGAAGATATAAACATAAAAGATTTAACTTCTAATTTGATCTAGTTTGATCTACCAGGTTTGACAGACAAATACCCATTAAAGCTTTCTGCGATATAATTTCTCTGATATATTTGAAATCTATTATAAGTAAAATGCTAAAAAGTCCGACGTCGACCGCTTTGCTATGCTACCTATGTGCGGCATTCTTCAGTGTTTCTTCACTCTCCCAGAACCAATGATCTGATAGCCATCCAAACCTTCAAAAAATTTTTAGAAAAAGCTGATCGAGAAATGATACCGTGATGGAGGCCAAATGCGTAAGGAGAGGCGTATTTGAACTAGTCCCTCAGGCACGGGACCAAAATGCCTCGAGTCTGTGGAGGCAGCAGCATTATCTCCTACAATGAAAATATTTAAAGAACACAACAAGATAAATAAACGAAGACAACCAGTTAGCATCATCAAAAAAATGAAATGAAAATCACGCGCAAGCTAGGCTTGAGGATAGTTCACGTGGATTGTTTCGAATAATCGATTTTAATGAAAACAAACGGAGCAAATGTAAGAATTAGAAACTGACCCCGAAGAAAAACATGTCCACGTGGAACACGTCCATTGGGCAGAAATTCACATGTTACCTTATCACTTTCCTTAAACATTCAAAATAAAATGGTTAGTGGAATATATGTAAACCTTAGCAGCCACTCTTTTACACAATAACTGTTCCGGCTCGTTTGGGCTTAGACAACCAACAATATCACCTCTATGAATATTGCCACCCATGACACCTATCGAAATGAACAAATAACAGAATACGAGCAGGTTGGAATAGCTCACTAAATCTTTCAGCTAACACAAGATCGCCATCCAATATTGTAGGTTGCATGGATGGACCGGAGCATATCACTAGTTCACCTACATGAGCACTAATGGTGTGAGCGACACAAGCAAAAATTCCAGCTCCTTTTAAATATTGCCAAAGCAACTTCTTATGAAATACACTCTTCGTGGCCATAAAATAACTAAGACACGATGACGAGTAACTGTCTGAAATGAAAGCCACGTAAGTTCTCGGAACAAAAAAAAAGGAACACAGACGACGGGTGCAGTTTATAACAGTTAATAAAAAATAAAATAGAAAAGATAATAATATAAATCCAAAATAAGAATATCTTATTGAGATGGAGGGTAGCCACGTCAAACACGAGTCCGTGTTATGCGTTTCAGTTGTGGCGTAGAGAGAGGAGAGTGGGACACTCTCGTCGTCTACGCTCTCTCAATTACTCATTATCATTTCGACAATTTCCACTATGGAGATGATGACGCTACAACATTTAAAACGCAGCAAGACAAGAAATTCTCTTAAAATTTTAATCATAATAGGAAATGATACCCATAATAATAAATATAATAACAACAATAACACATATTTCAAATGTACAGCAACTTATCTAAGTTTTCATAATGCAAGATATTGTATTTAAGTTCGTCAACTTGATGACTATGTCATCGATTAGTACAAACATTTATGCTGCCTTAAATAGGAAGGCTTATGCTGATACTTTTGGATCAGTATAATTATTGTAGAACTTCGAACTCGTCGTCGTGTGAGCCAACGTCATCAGGATGAGACTTAGTGGTCTGTTTCTTTCTTCTCCGCACGGGACGAGTGGATGTTCTATGTAAGTCAAACTCTTCATCACTCGATTCAGAAGCATTGATCGTCGGAAAGTTCAAGCCCGATGCAAAGTCAAGTTCATCTTCTGCAAGAGCATGATTACCCTTTTGAGGATAGCAATAAGCACTTACCATCTATAGGAGCTCTGACATATTGTTTTTCTGACACGTCAGACAAGGACTCATCTACTTCGGCATCACCTTCAATCTCAGAAGGAAGCATGCCTTCTAACTCCACATCGCTTTCATCTGAACGACTCTTGAATTTTAAGAAGGAAAATATTATGTTTTACCACAGAATGGGTTCTTTTCAGGAATATTGTTTACAATTTTTTGACAAACTGGACCCAAGAAGTAAATCAGAGCTGCTGTTTCTACAATTTTGTAACGTTGGTAAGCGTAGTCAACAACAGGCTGAAATATAAACAATAAGACGGAACAAAAGGATGAATTCACGTACTTTCATCAGTATTTTGTAAATAATGGCACAAATCTCTTTTCCAACATCTACGATCAAGACACAAATCGGCCAAAGTACAGAATCTCTTATGGCCACAGCCAAGCGATGCAGTTGTCTTCGTAACCAAAGTCGAAATTGTTCAAACTTAGCCCACATCCATCTGTACAATTTTCGAGAGTTCAATATGATACTTCCATTCGCTCACCTTTTCACCGGCACAATGAAAATTCGATGGAGTAATCCACCGAACGCAACAAGTTTAGATTTAATCCATCGGTAAAGAGGTGGAACCCAATGCCCGCAAAAGACATAGACCAGGCAGAAACAGAAGTAATTGAAAGCTCTCTTACAGGGTCCTCCTATCTATAATTCTTATCATGTCGAATATGCCCTTCCTTGACTCCTACTCTTATTTTAATCCATTCTTTCAACCCAGGCCACCAATGGGCACAGAACCAATATCTCAAAAATCTTCCAAACGCTTTAAAGCCAGACTTGATAGGTTCGATTATTCCATTTTTGAAACTAAACCAAAGTTTTTTAGAATAGCAAGAAAGCAACTAACCAATTTTTGATCGAACGACACCCGCTCTTTATGGCATTCCACAAATCTGAAATGACCCTGTTGACATGAAGTAAATAATAAGAAATACCTGGTAAAAACTCAAAGAAAATAATGTAACGAATGCATTGAAGTAGCTTCTGCATGGGACTCAATATGACCACCTAAAGAAGAGAGCACTCCAACGTTTATTGGGAAAGTATTGTCCTACCGATGCAGCGTTTTTCAATGATTCTCCTACGCGTTTACCACAGTTCAATATTTTCTGATTCACTTTATAATGATCCCATACGGGGTTTACCAGTAAGGATCCGACTGAAACAGTTCATATGCCAACTTCTTTCTGAGAACAGCTTACCTGAAGTGTACGAAGCCCAACACGCTACTTCTAATCGACTTGCATTCAACATATGAACGCTATATAAAGAACAAACAACAGCGAAAGACTGAAATACAGTTTGGATAAGCGGCAGAAAAGCAAAGCTTACCCTCCAAAGGGATTGTATAGGCCATGTAGCTATATGGATGGCAATACTTTTCTCGTAAGATGGTGTTGATAACACATCCCAACTGAATATTCCTGCAGCTAAGGAAACCAATGCTAATTGCTGATGAGCAACATCCAAATAGAATACAGAAGCCCTATAGGATACAATGATAAGAATATCATAAAAAGTAATATACCAATAAACTGTATTAATAAGCATTAAATACGGAGCAGTTGCTGGACTTCGCCATTCTACAACTTCTCTCCAAAATTTGTAAATAGACCGTCCGAAACCTCTTATCGATTCCATCACTGGCAAGAGAAAAATTCGATAAATTATGCGAAGAAGATACAAACCTGTAACATCTTCCGAAAAAAATAATTTGTTTCAATAAATCAAAAACTCCTTTTTTGGCGACGACTGAAAGCAAATAACATGGAAGTACATATCACGTGTTTGGCATTATGAGAACGTCAAAGCGAAAAATTAGAAGAAAATTTTCGAAAAATTAAAAAGAAGAATAAAGTTTAAGCTTTTCATGAAAACACAGTTTCTTTTGAACAACAGTTGTTTGCCAGACATTACACAAGCCATCCTATCTCTGGACTCTCTCACCAGCCAGTGATCCCTGTGAATTCTCGGTCAGAACATGCAGATTAGAGAAGAGAGAAAAGGGAACTAGTGACTTAGCGTATATATATATGGTTTTATTTGATGTTTCTTTACAATAATTTATACTTATTGAGACCAAATGATAAATATTAGAAATAGGGAATTTTTGAAACGTGACACAATCATTGAGGACGCCGCTGCTTATTCCCAACGACTTTTTTTTTTGTCGCTATGAGACAACGACGATGACGAAGAGTTGAACTGAGAATCTTTCTCAGCCGCTATTTTTGCGTTGATTTCATCAATCTTCTTCTTCCATTCAGGACGAGGGTCTGACGCTTCCTAAAATGGCCAGGTCATATGTCAAAGGTTGCGTAACACACTCACCGCCGCTAGTAATCTGCTTGGCTCAATATCAGACGCCTTAAAAGTCGATTGGAAAGAACTCTGAAACAAAAGTTCCATTACGAGAATAGAATAGATGGAAACCTTGAAAGCAGCTTTCATAGCTTGCAGCTTATTAGTCGCAGAACCACTGAAAATAATATATTTTCTAATTAATATTCGATTATAACTAACGCTTGAGACGCGGATTTCATTATGTCTTTTACTGTTCTGCCTGTATCTTTCAGAGGATCAAAATTAGCTCCTGAAGAGAGGAGTTATGAACATATGAATTTACTTTCCAAACATACCTCCTCCTCCAGTTTTTCTTTCTCTTGGTTTGTATCCTAACCCAGTTCGAGCTTGGGCTTTAGTTTTAGTACCTCCATTTCTTTGTTTTTGGAACCATTGCGATTTCATCGCAATAGCCATGAGCTCTTCAGAAACCTACAGAGAATTATAACTTCAGGCAAAGGTTAAAATGTTACTTCTTGGTTGACACTTTCCAGGTTTCTGACAAGATGTCCAGCCATCTCGAAATCTTTATCAGTTACTAAAGTGTAAGCTGTTCCTTGTTGACCTGAGAAAAAAAGTTTAAAAACACGAAATCCATCACAAAAACACAACCTGCTCTTCCGGTTCTACCGATTCTGTGCACGTGAGTATCAATATCTCTAGCAAGATCATAGTTAATTACTGTCCTGATTTCGGGAATATCAAGACCACGAGCTGAAACGGTTTCGGGTTTTGATCCAGTTCTCCTTTTTACCTGCAATATCGGTGGCAACCATGACTTTGATATCCTTCCGGAAAGAAAGCAGATGCTCGTTTCTCTCTGCTTGCTGCATGTCTCCGTGAAGTAACACCAATTTGATATCTCGTAACTATAAGCGAAAATTAGAAGTGCTGTATTGCCGAAACTTACTCGAAGTTTGCGAGCAACTTCTTCTGCATCCATTTTTTTCGTTACAAAAATGAGTACTTTACCCTCTGAAGAAAAACGATCAAACTAATTCAGCAGCTTGCTCTACCTGATGCGAATCCAATCAAATGTGATGTCAACCAGGTCCATTTTGCGTCTCTATCAGACAAAATCTCTACTTTTTGGAGAATGTCAGCGTTTGCCTTAAAAATTGATAATCTTCCTTTTTTAAATTCAAAAAGCTTACTTCTCCCACATGACCTTGTACTATCCGTACAGGATCTTGTAGTGCATCGCGAGCTAATCTCTCAACTTTCTGCTTGAAGGTAGCACTGAACATCAAGCATTGTCTATCTGGACGAATATGGTCCGAGATGGACATGACTTGAGCTTCTGAAAAGAAATAGAAGTTCATATATGACTTCATTCCGAACTCACCAAAGCCCAGGTCAAACATTCGGTCAGCTTCGTCGAAGACCAAGAACGTTGTTCTTAGGAAGTTGGTGTTTTCTAACTTTATATGGTCAATCATTCTTCCCTGCAATGAATACATTTTGAGTCATGGATAGAAACCACTTACGGGAGTACAGACAACGAGTTCAGCTCCATCGTTCATCAATTCATTACTTTGTTCCCATTTGTTACCTCCTCCGTAAGCACAAATAACGTTGATATTATATGGTTTGCAGAATCTTTTAGCTTCTTGGTAGACCTAACAGAATCCACCAGTAGACATTTTGAATAATAATGGCTCTTACTTGGAGAGCCAATTCACGAGTAGGTACAACAATCAAAGCGATCGGGCCTTCGCCTTCTTTCAGCTCAGGCTGATCCAAAATCTGAAATATAAACTCTAATAGTTTACATAAATGAAGAACAAACATGGGTAATAGCTGGCCAGAGATAAGCAGCAGTTTTACCACTTCCAGTTTTAGCGACTCCTAGAACGTCTCTTCCGCTGAGAGCAGCGGGAATAGCCTGTATTATCAGAATAAAACACAATATAGATTGAATGGGCAGACCTGCGATTGGATGGGGGTTGGTTTTTCAAACTCGCTTTTGCGAATCAACTCCATAAGGCCCTTGTCAAATCCGAAATGCCCGAAAGAACAAACCGGACGAGGAACGTCCATTCCACCTACATGATTCATCAAGAGGAGCAGTAAATGGAATTACATACCTACTCGGATACCGAGCTCTTCTCTCAGTTTATAAACTTCAAACTTTTTAAGTGCTCTGAAAAACGATGAATGAAAAAGGTTTACGATAAACGAAAAACTTGATGTCATCATGCTCCACATAGAAATTCTTATGGAACTCGGAATATTCAATAGTAGAATGATCAATCGGAGGTAGGGGGTCGATAACCTTTAACAAAAATAATAAGGAAAACGATCAATAACAGCACCTTTTTCCAAGTCCAAATGATGTTTCCGTCTTCATCGTATTCATAGATCTCTTCTTCTTCCTTTTCTCTTTCTTGTTTCGTTTGCAAGTACCTATGCTTGAAGCTTCAAAACGAGTTCACAGAAAGTAAACTTACTGCATCATTGACTCTTGCATATCTTCTGCTTCTAAATCTGCTCTTCCCATTCCTTTCTTGGGAGCTTCAATATCTTGTCCGGCCTTTCTGTTCAGTTCTTTCCTAACAGACTCAGCTTTATCTTTTGATGCCTGTTATAACATGATGCTGCGAACATGAGAAATAAAACATACTTGGGCATTGATTTCACTCATGAAAGCATCAAGATCATCTTCTTCATCTTGTGGTTCAGGTTCAGGTGCAGGTGCTTTCTTTGATGTTGAGCGCTTGGAAGAACTTTGTTCTTCATCAGAATCTTCTCCCTCTAGATACCTATAAAGAAACAATTAGCTTTAAGAACTTCATAAGACACTGTACTCGTCATCGTATAACTTCCTTCTTCGGGATTTGTGTTCTGATTTAGAACCATGATACATCAAATTGGCATACTAAACAACAATAGAACGGGAAGAGATGTTTGTCAAAACCTCCAACTCCTTCTGTCTCTCTTTCTCTTTAGCAGCAGAAAGAGGATTGGTATTGTAGTTTACTGGAGCTGCGATTTGGCTGGGTGGAGGAACAGAGTTTAACGACTCTAAGTTTCATTGTACGAATAGATCTGTGGCTACTTACCTCCTCTCGATCCAGCCGTAGAAGTCGTGTTAGATGCCGCCGGTACAAACCTCTTATAATTATTAAGATAATGGGACATGTCTAGAAACAGGGAGCTGTTAAAGTATCACTCAGTGTACTAAGCTAAGGACATGAAGAAGCAATAATTAGTAGAAGACGTTCGCACTCTTTCGTTTAAATGAAAAGAACGGGAACTTGCGTATATTTCCTAAAAATTCTAGATTGAAGCTTAACCATCTAAACTTCATCATTCTCAGATGATTGCAGAACCAAATGTTCTATTAACACTACCTTACTTTCCTTGATCATAATCAACTGATAAAACTATTGTTTGTCGTCCACATTCTCAATTTTCTTCCTCCAGTTTTTATGATTCAATTCGTCCCATACTCGTCGTTCGCGTTGTTCCTCACTTCTATGATAACGTAATATAAAAATTTTTTAAGGTTAATGATTGTAATAAATCGTAGTTGCTCAGTGGTTGCTAGAGTTAAACCAACATTAAGTACCCTTGCTTCGTTAAAGCTTGCCTCCACCTCTACCTCCACCTTTAGCCCTCTATTATCTAATTCTAAAACAGCACATGCCATAGGTAAATCTCAAAATCCTCTATATTTTGACACATTTTTCACAGAAAAACGCAATATCCATACTTCTGTTCCACAATCCAAAGATGATTATTATAAAACATTAGGAGTTAATAAGTCGGCGAATGCCAAGGACATCAAGAAAGCTTATTTCCAAGTTTGTTTCTCGATCTCTATTCCAACTATCGCTACTTCTTTCAGTTAGCAAAGAAGTATCACCCGGATGTTAACAAGACAACGGAAGCTCAAGAGAAGTTCCAAGCAATATCGGAAGCTTACGAAGTTGGTTTTTCAGTTCAAATCTGTTATAATAACCGTTTTCAGGTTTTATCGGATGATACAAAAAGACAACAGTATGATACTTTCGGTTCCAATCCTGCCGGTGGGGCTGGTTTTGGTAAGTTCACAGAGTTAACCTTTTCTATCTTATTTTTTAGGAGCCCAAGGTGGCCCAGGTGGTGGATGGAGCCATCATAATGTGGATGTCAATGAAGTTTTCCGAAAAGCCTTTGGATTCAATATGGTAAGGAAAAGATTCGGGCATATAACAGTTTAAACTTAGGGAGGAGGCGGTGGAATGTCTTGGGATTTCGCCGAAAGCCAGTTTGGACATGGTCATTCTGAAGAGGTTATAATGAACATCTCATTCGAAGAAGCTGTGAAAGGTTTGCCATGTTTACGTTCAACTTCAAACGTCCAGTTAAGGAGCTCAAAAAACCGTTTTGATCAATGTTGTTGACGATTGTTTATCTTGCAAAGGGTCTCAAGTCCAACCTGGTTACAAGAAGGTAAATTCCATAAAATAATCGACATTACTTGTACGTTTCCAGGTTTCTTGTCCCTATTGCAACGGGTCTGGAATGGTTTCAGGTCGTTTACAAGGTGGTTTCATCTATCAAACTGCTTGTAATAGATGCATGGGTTCGGGCCATTACAACAAAGTAATCTATTGCTAGTTGAAGCTAATTGAAGAACTCTTTTTAGAACCCTTGTCATGAGTGCGAAGGAAAAGGACAAACTGTACAACGTAAATCCGTATCTTTCAACATTCCCCCAGGAACTTCTGATAAGAATGAAATTAGAATTAACCACGGAAAGGTTCGAAATCAATCCCAAATAGTCTCTTAACTCGCATGTATTCAGACTGCGATTTACGTACGATTCAATGTGAGGCCATCCACTATCTTTAAGAGAGAACATGATGACATCCATTGTGATGTAGAAATCTCTTTAGCCCAAGCAGTTTTAGGAGGAACTGTGAAGGTAAGATAGAGTTAGTAGCTCTCAAAACAAAATCATTTCAAGATACCCAGCCTTTCCGGGGATAGATACATTCATATCGATGCAGGAACTTCTAGTCACACATTATTAAAGTAAGGAACTTCTTGTAATTGTTTCTGATAATATCTTCAGACTCACTGGTCAAGGAGTAAAGAGACTGAAGAGAGAAGGTCACGGTGATCAGTATATTCACATAAAACTCACAGTTCCAAAGTAATAACCTTTTCTACCTTTGATAGTAATATGAATTGAATATTGAAGGAAAATAACTGAAGCTCAACGAAAACTTATATTTGAATGGACTGATACTGATAAACCTAAATCAGGAACTGTGCAGGGTTATGATGAGTACAGTAAGTGATTAAAAACGAACCTTTGCCATTCCTAGTTTGTAGAAGCTGCATTAGATAGTAAAGATAGCTTTAAAAAGGAGTCCGCACCAGCTTCAAAAACTGAGACTTCTCCACCTCCTCCTCCACCTCATACTAGTACAGAGGATATATTTGGTGGTAGTTCAAGCAAAGCTTCTCCCGATATTTCCTCTCCTTCTTCCTCTGATGAGAAGTCCTCTGAAGAGAAGTCCTCTGATGGTTTCTTTAGTCGAATGAAAAAATCTTTATTCGGCCAGTAGGTTAGCTGGTGTGGGCTCCCGTTAAAAAGTCTAAGCTAATCTGTCTTGTTTCAGAAACTAAATCATCCGATCCTGTAAATGACGAGCCCAAAAATGATGAAGAGGAGAAAACTGAAAAGCAGAGCAAGCAGTCGACTTCATAGATATTCCTAGAATTTTTTAAATTGTTAGTCAATTTGTTTTACTGTTCGCCTACTATAATGGAGAATGAAAGTTGTTATTTTTTGTATCTCTGTTTTCAAGCAAAGCATTTTCTTTGAAAACACAATTTACTTAGATTTTTATTTGTTTTATCATATTTGGCTACATCGCCTATATGAATATATTAATCTAGTTCTTAGATAGATTAGGATATTGTTTTGTTTTCATAATAAAGATGTTTTTATGAATGATGAAGGACAGCATCAATACGATAGAAGTTCTGAAATGTTTGATATGATGAAAGGTATAGGTGTTCTCTGTCATGGGATGGCAGCAACAATATTCAATCTGTCGTTGTCATAGTAGATGCCGGAATATTATGATTCGAAAGGCTAAAACGAGAATGACAAAAACGGCAGCTCTGAAGATCGATTGACGAGGATGAAGTCGATAGAGTTCCATCTGGATTTTGATCAATATATCTGAAATGAATGTCATGAAGCCATCACGAAATGTCCGCAGAATGAAACTAACCGAATAAGTCGAATATCACTCGGTATGAAAGGAATTATATGCTTAGAAATATATAAGTTCTCGATTATGAATGCTTCTTTCGATAGATTTCGAGCTCTCTTCTGCATGAGGTTAGCATAGAGTTCGGAAACAAGCACGACCTGCAAAAAAAAAACAATTTAGTGTTGTCTATCACATCTGGTTCCAATTTGTGTACTCAATTCATACATAACTATTTGGAGGCAAGAGCTTTGATGCTTTTTCTTTAGTTCAAACTCTTTATTTTTCCCAATGCAAAAATTCGAACTTGTCTTTCAAAAACCCTCATGAAATGTTTGATTGTGAAGTTCATTGCCACAAAAAGCATGTCTAAACTGAAAAAGCCACAATACTCGAAAGAATTTCCCGAAGTAATTCCCCAAAGACTAACTTCTCAGCGCCCTTTTGTTCATTTGAAAGAGAACATTAGTATATGATAAATGATCGTACAGAGCTGAAAGCGAAAAGAACCAATGTTTCCCAAAAAGTTAAGTAGCAAATCTCTGTGCAAGTTAACGTTTTAGATAGCTCGATTAAACACTAAGATTGACGACGTAGATAGAATCCCCAGATTAGAGTGTCAACCATGCGACTTCAATAAGTTGAGTTACCCTCACCTTTCCACCAACAACTGCAAGTGCCGAACGTGCATCTTGAATTTTTCGCCCGAAGTAATGAATTTTTCTGATATATTGAACGCCAACTAAGTCGATACACATAGTAGTAATAGCCAATCCTGGAATACGTAACTGTAAAGATGGTACCTACTAAAGACAACCTAGAATTATATATAGCAATATGATGTACATGTATTCATCCCTACGCGGCATCAAATCGCCAAACCCGACCTGAAAATAATCAAATTAGTTGTTACTCATTAACAATTCTTACAGTTGTCATGGTAATAAAAGACCAGTAGAATGAAGTGAAGAACGTCCATGGTTCAAGTTTTGACATCAGCACTCCTCCAAGAGCAGTGTACAACACCAGTATAGCCAGAACAAGAATAGCAGGTATTCTTAAAAAAGAAACATAAATTAAATTAAAATGGATCAGTGATGCTCAGAATGCAGCTGGGTCATATCGAATTCAAACGTCAAATGAAAGCGTGCAGACGCGTGCCTATTTACATAAAGCACGCCACTCACGTAAAACGGACGTAACGTAATGGGGTGATTAGAATAAAAAATACCTTTGCTCCTCAATTATATGCATGTTGTGACCGATTCCTTGGCTTTGGCAATGCTCACACACATGCTCTCGTGTTCGTTCGCGTTTATCTCGATCGAATATTAAATGCTTCAATTTCAAATAGTTTCCATACATCCATACTAAGTGTTCAGATAAGAACTTTCCTAAAGTGATTGATTAGAACTGTGAATGAGTAATGAATCAACCAAGATCAGCTATCGTAACTAGAGTTAAAGGAATTCCAAACAAGGAAAACATAATGCATACAATGCGACCAACATTAGTCACAGGTACGGGATTACCGTAGCCTGAAATGCAAGTTAATAAAATATGAGAAGGTTTGATTGATACCAATCGTCGTTACAACAGTAACTGCGAAGAAGATGGATGTTGGAAAGCTCCATATTTCAGTAGTCACGTTCTTTTTAACTTCAGTTGAGGTCAAGAAATATTTCTCAAACGCAACGAAAAGCTGATCGGACATGTTGTGCATATGCCGTTCAGCGATCAACTCCCATTCTAATCGATCTTAAAAAGTTGCTATTCATATTTCATATGTAGCATATATGAAACCTGTCTGGTTCTGAGCTGCAAGTCGTACTAGTTGATCAACAAACTCTGTTTGTCTCGTGTATATTTGTTGTAGCTGGAATGATATGTAATGTTGGATAAAATATGAGAGCGTTACTTGTTGTTGTTTTGTTTCCAATTCATGCGGCCTTTCAACACTGTAGAAAATCGAAGCTCCTAATACGGTATAAGCGCAAGTCAATAGAACAAGAGCTACGTGTGGTAGAATTAACTTGGCATACTTAATATATAAAATTGATGAAAAACGTTTGGAAGCCGGAAACCTTTCTTAAGCCTCGTTCAGATTCTTCTTCATCTTCTTCTTTTGAGTCCTCACTGTTATCCATATGATCGTGGCCACTCTGTTATGATAGATAGTAGAATAGAGTCTGATAAGGAACACAAAGTCACAACATTGGTCTATTAATGATTTCATATCCGAAACTTAAAGGGTTTTCGTGCAAAATGTAAAAGAAAATATGAAAATGCCATGAAGTAACCTCATCATGGCATGAATGTAACATAGGGTTGCTTTCTTCCAGATAACTTCCACGTTGTGATCCAGGTCCATATAAAGCCTCCTATAAAGAACAACAAGCCACATGCTAAGTATCATGCTTTAACATATAAAGTTATTTATGAGGGATAAGCTCGGTAGAAAATAAATTTATAATATTATTGAAAACTAACTCTTCGTTGTCTTCGATGAAATGTCACTGGAATTTCACCAAGATGATCATCCAGCTCATATCTTTCCATTTCATCTTCTGGACTATCCTCATAGTCCAGATTGCCATGAGAAGTGGAAGCTGATAATTTTTGTTAATCATATAATTCATCGGAAACGAATACCATAATCTTCGTTTAGGAGTGTAGTTGCGCTGTTGTCATGAAGATTCGGATCCGAATCAACCCGTTCATAGCCCTTATTCCTCATTTGTGCATGGCTGTTGGATGAAACATCTGTAAGAATGTAATCAATTGGCGACAAATTTAATCGTTTTTTTCGAATATTCCTAGAGAAAAACTGCTAAAAAGAAAAAAACAAAGCATTAAATAGAGGCTTTAGGCACATTTCAAGCTCATCACATTCACTGCACGAGCGACAGCAGAATCACTAAGATTAGAGGAGTTTAGCTTATGTTCATGAGAAACACATTAGACCTCCGATCTTTCTATCTTTCAACCTTCAAAAATCGAGAACAAACAAAAAAATTCTAATATTCGATTATATATAATATTGGACAAGTGGATATAGCTTAACTCCTTTTACTAAATAACGGAAATGAACAAATATGAGATGCTTTTCCTTGGCTGATGCCCTGAGGGCATTGTCAGATGTTGAAACTGAAGACGTGGCCAGTCTGTTCTACATGGGATTTGAAGCGGAAGATTTCGTTTTTCAACTTTCTTCCTCTCCTTTATCTGAGCATAGACAACGAAAAGAAGCAAAGGTCAAATATAATCTTTTTTTGGAAAAGTTATCCAAGATAGATCAAAGCAAACACGATGAATATCCGATTAAGAATATCAGAGAATTTTATTAACTTCTGCCGAGTCAACTCAACAACAAAACGTGTGAAATGGCTTACAAGGCATTGGCCAATGATGTCGCCAGTTGACCGTTAATGACATGATGCGAGCTTGGCTCCAGATTTTTCAGATACTAATCAGATAATAGACCTAGTTCGCTTTCAACAGCTTTGATTACAGATATATCCAGAGAACTCGAAGAGTCAATGTTCAAGCTATATTTGACTCACGATGTTTCTTTGAGTTTAGAAGAGAGACATCGTTTTTCGATAGCTTTGGGTCAATGTTAGAACAGTTCACTGCATATTTAGAAGGAGAGACGAAAAGTAAAAAGTAGCTTGTTTGCGAAAACTGATTCAAATTCTGATGGTTTCATATGAAATCTAGCACATTTGATGATTGACATGTATGGCAACTCATGTACTAAGACGAACAAGAAGATGAAGAGAGGTAGTGAGAGCTATGAGAAAAAAAGAAAATTCAACAAGAAGGAGACAAAAAATAGAAATATTATTTTATTTGAATAATATTTCCATCAAGTCTCTCTTTAAAACTAAGGAATAGCTGAGGTTCTCGACTTTCGAAGTCCGAACTAAGCATTACGCCAAGGGGAGGCAAGTCAGTAGATTGGTCCCCAGAGAACATGCAGGGTGGGGTGGAAAAGAGAATATGTCAGTCGCAAAACGAAGCGTCAAAGATATAGTTGTTATATGAGGAATATACTGAAAACTGACAACGATTAGTGATAGACAATGATAAAGATCAAAATTAGCATAATTAGCATATAGCGAAGAGCCGTGGAATCTCGACGGAAGGACAGTAATTGAGTAAACGGCCATTTGCGTATCTATGTAGGCTCTTGAACGGTTGTTAGAAATGGCAACATCTGTTTATTCATAAGAGTAAAGGTGAGTGTACGAGAATTGAACGTAAAAAACATTTTTTTTCCAAAAAAGGAACATTGGGTTCAGAAAACTTATCAAAGGACATTGTTAGAGCAGGAGTTTTCCTTAACAAACTTGAAAAATATTAAATTTCTTTACGTATTAAGTTACCTTAGGCAAAGTTAGTTAGGTATCGAAGTTTTTCTTTAATGATCTCAAATAATCTTCTTTTATGTCATAAGTGATAGTTATGTATGCTTAAACGTAACTTGAAACCATTGAAAAGTCACTTCAACTATCAAGTCAGGACCTCAGTTTCAAGCCGTTACTACACCCGCCCTAAGGGGGAAGGGGTGGGGCTCGTAGTCTCCGGAGCTATTTGTCACAGCCTCGGAAATGACAATGATGGGAAGAGCTAGAAGAAGAAGACGACGACGGCTACTACCACGACGACAACGACGACAAGGAAAATGACAACGACGTAGAGATAGGGAAGTTTATGACGAGGAAGAAAGAGAAATGCTCTGATAGGAGTTTTGTTACATGTTCAAAGTCTTTTCGGCTTTTCGTCTAAGAAGACTTTTAATTCTGTCCCTATAGGACGGTCATTAGTCAACATTATGTATATAGTTAAAGCATATAATACTTAAGACGTTGTCTTTGGACTAGACAAAATGGCAACAAAAAAATTTTTAATTTTTTATGCTCTGAATGAGGCCTGAGGGCAGTGCTAAAATAGCTCGCTTTGCAGTGAATTGCTTTGTTGTGCTAAACAACCACGAATCATAAATTTTCAATTGAAATCAAAGGAAAATGAGGCTTACTCATTGATACATGGCTCGCAGCTTTTCGGCATCCACGAGATTTTGGGCGAACCGAAGGCCTTATGGCCAGCGGACGATAAGCGAATGTCTTATTTCCGGTTAACATGAGTTTTCATCTGCAACATCTATTTTCTTCGATCAAACGAGTAACACTAAACGACTTGAAAACATATCTTATTGGCTTACAATTTGAAACAAAATACTATAACAGTGCACGATATGAGTGTTCGAGTAAAACAAGAAATTCTTGCAAAAAAACAAAAACCAAAATTAGTCAAGTCTTCCTTTGGACACCACGTTATGTGATGCTTTCGTTCGTATGGAGAGGCTCTTTTCCAATTAAAGTCCACACGGTAATTGCCTCTGGCAATTTGACTTTTCGAAACTCTCCCAGCTGAAGCTTTTCACAACTTCCAAACAACAGGCTGCTTGTTGATTTCAGTGAAGCCAATGAAAAGCGTAAAAATTAATTCGAAGGCTTCAATGGTGGGCTACTGAGAAATCCTCGATGGTCATTAGACAATTGAAAAAAAAAATAAAAAAATTTTTATAAAATCTATAAAGCTCGAGGTCAAGTTGTGTTAATCCTGTCTAAGACATTAGTAAGTCATTTATCATTGAGCTTCTGTCTTATTGTACAATCAATATTATAATTTCTTGACTCTAAAATATGACTTTTTCAAGCAGAAAGCACCAAATGTGCGGAAAACCCGGAGAGTTGATGAAAGAGAAACAAAAAAATTATTTTTCCGTTTTTTTTTTGACTTTTCTTTCTCCTTTCTTGCTGGAACTTCTGTCTCGAGATGGCTTTGTCGTTGCTGAATCTTTTGGCTTTTTCTTTGTTGGTTTTTCCTTCCTTAACATTCATTCATTACGTTATTTTCAGTAACTTAACCAGAATTACCTAATAGGGTCTGGTGATGCTTCATCTAACACCGTCTCGAGGGCTTTAACCGAGACTGCTTTACCTTTTGAATTTTTAACTTCCGACACCAAACGTCTTACTTTTTTCTCAAAGAGATGTACTTTGAAAGATGAGTTGAATAATGACATACCACGTTGCCGTTTGAAGGAATTGAAGTCTTGGACAGTGGTGTCGACGATGCTGACGATCGATTTTTTGCGCGTTGAGAACCCCAAACAGTTATATAGAGGTTAGAATGCTTCAGGTAATCGACCAACTAAAATCTTATTTCAAATCTTTGTCACTCATGTTATGAACCTGTTTGGTGACTGGTTTGAAGGGGAAAAGTTGCCGATGAGCATACGATGGATTGTTGCTGGATGCTGACACCGTTTCAATTTCTTTCGCTCCGAAGAAGCGATATCGACATTTACTTCTGACAATACGACGTGGTAATCCGAAAGCAGCCACTATCGTAACTTGGAACCCGTAGTTCTTACCAACCTGAACAAAGCTTCTGTAATGTACCTTTGGAAGGGAGAGGGTATTTTACCAGCATTTCAGGATTATCCACGTACTCTCCCTGTATTTCTCTACCAGATATAGAACAAGGAGTTAAAGAAACAGTCAATTGTCCCATTTCAATACCTTGAAAAACTATTATGTGACTATCATCAGATATGCAATACCTGAGAAATCAACAATAGGAAAAGATTCTTGCGAATCTATCAAATACGCCAACGATTGAAGGAATACTACTGATGACCCGATGAACGCTAATGAATCAGGAGGTTCATAAAACGGATCCCGCTCCTGAATAAATCCAAGATTATAACATAAAGCGTTTTTAGGACACTTTTTCCACGTTCCATTCTTCTCCGTCTACCATAAACTCGTACATCTCTTGCATTCCATAATATCTGTTGATGAAGCGTGACTTCTCCCACAGAAACTGTGTGTCATCTAAGTGGTTTTGAACTTTTATCCAAATCTGAATGAGAATACTTCATTTAGAATGACATGAAATTCACACTTCAGTTAGCCCATCTTCTAATCCTCTCATTTGGGCTGATACAAGAACGATTTCGAAACTGACGTGCCGCTTCATTTCCTTAGCCATAGCATTAGCTCGATATACTAGAGGCATGGTTGATACAAGTTCTTCCTCCAAGATTAAATCCGCTATAATGATCAGTTACCTAGATCTGATGTAATAAATCAAACCTTTATTCCGTCCATCTGATCCAACCAGAGCTATTCCTGAATGTTGAGTTATTTCTTTTTGAGCTAACTCATAAGTAATATCGTGGTTTGCTCCTTTCTTCGACGGATTATGAAACACGTAAAGATGATTTCCACCGAACATGATACTGAAAATGAAGTTTTACAGTTCCAAATGCTGATGAGAGAGAAACAACCGATCATTTTGATTAAGTTCTTGTTCGCTTTGTATTTTTCGTCCATTCACTAGTATATCAGCCATCTTAAAATAAGAATTTGAAACATGAATATGATACTTGATGATGATGATGAACACAGCCGCTCGCAATGAACAATTGTAAGAAATGAACAATCTGTACTTGACGGGGCCCACGCACAAATTAGAATAAAACCCACTTCTAGCGGTTTTACAGTTATTTTGGAATTTTTCTTGTTTGAAACAATCGCATGTTGTGGTAAGATTGATAATCCATTCAATTGAATTGATGGAGCAGGCACTGCATTCTTGTTTCCTTCAAATACATCTGATGTAAACAGAAAACAAACAATTATGAACCTATTGTAACTTCTCCTTCAGATATGAAATGAACGATTACATCAGTTAAAGCAGGATCTTCGTTTAAATTCCAAAAATAAGGAGTTGTCTGCTTTCGTTTTGCGATTGCTGCACGCTCAGCCGACGTATTATTCTTAAAGCGCTTTTGTTGCACCAGGGGAACAAAAAGTTCAAAAAATTACTTTTGCAGCTTCTTCGGCAATTTTTTGCTGCCATGTTTTCTCAAGTTCAGCCATTTCTCGTATATTCTGCTCAAGTTGTCTTCGCAAGCTTTCCAACTCTTCCTGTAGTAGGGGACAATCATTGATATACATGTATGAGCATGTCTATAATTACGTTGTTCGACGAGCCAGAGCTTCCTTTCATAGCATCTTGCAAACGAGCATTCTCCTCTTTCAGCTCTCTTATCATGCGATCTGTTTGATTTTCATTAACAACAGCGTTCGTTTTAATAGACTTCGCTCGATCAGCAAATCTTAATTTCAGATAGAACGGTATGAGCCGGTAAAGAATTTTTAAACCTCAAAGTAGAAAGCGACTCTTCGTAATTAATATCTGCAGGCGATATGGCAGCTATCTGGAATGTTTATGAGGATTATTGTGGATTATGAAAGCTACCATGATTGTTTTACTATTCCCTCCTAGAGCATTTTTCAATAAACAAGTCAGAGCGGAATCTCGGTAAGGAATCTGAAAATGGCTTGATATCAACAGAATTGGTTGAAAAGCAACTACTTGAATTTTCTTTTTTCCTTTATTACTCTGCTGTTCATGAAGAGCTTTGATGACTCGTCCGAGAGTCGATAGCGATTGGTTAATCACAATTCCCTCTTTTAGTCGATCACCTTCAGATCCTGCATCACGTTGCCGCTCACTGTTAATTCTCTGTTAAATCCCCTCCATTTAATTTAAAAAATGTTACCTCCCTGCTAAATCCACGAGATTGATCTCAGATTTCTTTGTCGTTGTTCCTCCTCCCGATTTAGGCAATTTCTGATTAAACAAAAGTTTTACGATGGTGTGAGCTCTAGATCAATTGACATCGTCTTTATCTCAGATACACACACAAGCAAAACCAACCGGCTACTCGTAGCATTCATGTTGGTAGCAGCGATTGTTCGGTTTTTAGTTCCTTCCTCAATCTTTGCTTCAATTTCTTCATAAGAATTTACTGGTGAACTGGATAATCCCTCAACTTGACAGAAATGTTTATATACTTCTCATAAAACAATCAAATACCATAAAAGCCAGTTTTTGGATGTTCCCGAATCTTCAAACCTCCTTTCGGTGGTTCTTTGGACGACAATAGATCTCGTATCTGAACAGAAAAAAACTCGCGTGAAAATACTAACGCAAATAAGTTTTCAATCTTCCTCATTGCCAATAGCTAGAGAGAGACGAAGAGAGACAGAGAGAGAGAGATAGATGGTGGTGTTAACTTACTTTTTCACAATAAATTTCGAACATTGAAATAAAAACTTCATATTGCGCATTCTTCTTGTTGTTCTCTTTGTTACTTTCAATGCGTTTGAATAACTCTTCACAGACAATTGGAACTATGCCTTCAAATCAGTTTAATGTGTATGAGTATAAGGAGTGGGAGGGGGGGAGGATAGCTAGAAGTAGAAACAAGAAGAAGAAGAAGAAGCACCTTTGTTTCCTTTGAATCCTACTATGGAATAACTTTTTCCACTTCCAGTTTGTCCGTAAGCAAATAACGAACAGTTATATCCAGCCCAAGCATTATTTAACACGCCTTGTCCAAGATCATCAAACACGCGACGCTGTTTTTCAAAAAATAAAAACTTTAGTGATCATAAAACTCACTTGATCTGCATATTTTTCATCCTGTCCCGAAAGATATCCATCAGATTTCTTAGTAAATCCACTATGTGACCAATAAGAATAATCAAAAGTAAAATATTTCACATCCGACGGATTATTGGGATCTCTATGGAGAGGAAAAATGAAATCATTATAATACATTATAATATTCAAATGAACCGTATAGCTGTTGTCTTGTTATCAGGCATTTCAATTATTAATTGAGCTTTTCGTGCTTTTTCGCGTTCATTATATGGCCGGACACGAACAGCCACCACAAGATTATCTCCATCTGATTTGCCCATTTTCAATAATTGAAGAAGAGCACGAGCTGGAGAAGGAAGATAATTGAAGTAACTAGAGGTGAAGAAGATATCTGAAGTATCTAAAGGATGAAAAGGAATATGTCTGAGTACTGAAACTACTATACAAGAAACTTATGACGTTTTCACCTCATACCCGCACTTGAACGTGACCCTAGGAGATGGTTGCTAAGTAAATTATTATGCTACAATGGACTTTTCCCTATTTTTCTTTAGATTAATCTGTGAATGCAACCGCTCTGTATTTGTAACATCGTGTCAAACAACGTCCACGTCATATCTCTTGCACTGATTATTCTCACGTACTATACGTGAAATGCATTATGCTAATTTATGTCAATTGGAATAAGCTTCATTAATATTCATTAAAATGTAATCATTTGACAGAAAAAAAGCAAAGTTTGGAAGAAAATTTATTAAAGTACATAAAGGTTTGAAGAATAAATATAAAAATAATTTATTATTATTATGAGAATTCAGCCTGGAGTAGTAATGGCTATTTAGGAGACAAGAAACAACAAATGAAATCACAGGAAAAGACGACTAATAAAGGTGGATGTTACTATTGAAACGGCAACTGGAAAACGAGTTAAAGCCCAACTTACACTATATACCGTAACTACCAACTGTTTCCAAATGTTTTTAAAATGATATTTTTTAATATATTCAACCAATTAATTGCCTTTTTTTCTGAACTAAATATATGGCGGCAAGATGATTAAAGCGATTTAATGCAACAGTGAGTCGAAAGAAATGCACAAAGGTGGGGACAGAGGAGAGGTGGCCAATAAATATCGTTTGGAGGGGGGGGATTCTCCCAATGAAAAGTTTCTCTCTTTCCTGTTGAGACCTTTTTTATTCTATAAAAATTTCCGGAACATCGAGATGACATAAATACAAAAAGAGTAGTGGGAGAGAGAAAAGAGAGAGGGAGAGAGAGAGAGCATAGGAGAGAGAGGCAGGAGGGTAGAAGGGAGGTTTTCCGAGGAATTTTCTACAGCGATAACTGGACGGGAATGAAGCTATTGGATCATATTATGATCACTGGTCACAAGTATACTTTAGATATACTTTTTCCGAAATAGAGATTATGCATGAGCCATTATTGCTTTGAAGCATTGAACTCAAGAAGCAGGAGACGGCTATATATATCCGTGTCCTTTAAAATTCCAGGAATTATCATCAGTATGTTTTGGGCAAAAATTGTCTGTTTGACTTCAAAATCAAATCTCGCTCAAGCCTCTCGGCTTTGTCCAAATGCGATAAAATGAGTGAGGAGTCAGGATTATGCCATGGACTATCACGTATTCGTTGAGATAACAGCCGCGAAATTGACGGGGGGCAAGCTGGTATAGATACGAGTTCGGAAGCCAATTCAGCTAGCTGGAAATATGCTTTGATCAGCCAAGTTAGATGATTATAAAGTACCTGTGGGCATTGAGCAGAAGCTTGTTGCCAGAACTGCAATGGTGGCTGGAATGGGTTTCCAAAAGATGCTCTGTTTCCGAAAGGTGATAAAAAGGCTTCAACGGTGCACTAGAATTACAGAATGATTCTTGAAAATAGTGAATCCAATTACCCCTGATAGTATTTCATCGAAATAAGACGAGACAAGTGCTTCAGCCAAACGATCACGAGCAGGTGGTCGTTCTTGTTGAAGCCTTTCATGAGCTTGTTGAAGCAAATCCGCATATATGGGGTTAGATGTTAAATCGGTTACATTTCCATTGAGTTTGGATTGATTGAGAACATTAGCAAGTAATGCATCAACTCCAAGCGCACGAGCAGGAGCAGGAACACGAAGTTTCTCACAGAGCTGAAATTCTTGTTGATAGAAACTTGATTAGCAGAATAACGAAACCTTCTTCTCGATAGCTTTGCGAGCATAAGCAGTTTGCTCTTCATTCAATAGAATAGCCATCTGAGGGCTCAAGGCAGTCGCCAAAACGTATATTCCTTCAAACTCTGGATGGTCCACATCGGTGATATAACTAAGCTTTGATTTGATAAATTGACAAAGTTCTTCAAATATCATAGAATAAATGCTTTCCTGAAAGTTATGCTTTGAATGATTGTTTGAGACCTTCAACGAACTTTTTCTAAACTGTTCAGTAACTGTTTTATACATGGGATAACGTTATCGATAGTTGTCGTTTCATTGCCCGCAACTTGACGGAACAATTGAGCTGCGCTGGACAAAGCTTGAAGCAGAAGCCTTAAACGTCGTTCGTACAAAACTATTATTTCTCTCGAAAATACCATTGTTGTTCATTCAGATTTTGTACATATCCTTGATCGCTTATCAGTTCAATAGCGTCTTTTATCTTCAAAACGGCTTCCACTAAAACTGGGAAAGGCTCCGTCAATGGGAGATCAACAGTTCCGCCGCAATCTACAAATACCTCGAGATTAGAGAGTGAGAGAGAAACATCCGCCATACCTATCGCCTTATTTAGACATTGAAGAGCTTCAGGCTTAGTGACGAAAGCGAATATTAATTGGAAAACCGATTTTCTTAAGTCTTCTACTACTGATGAAGATTCCACGAAGTTTGTGAAAACTGTGAAAAGTCTTTCAGAGAACGGCTCCATCTTTAAGAAGCAGTATACTGATTGAGGATTAACAAGATAAGAGCTAACATGATTATCAAAAATTTTCTGTTTTGTTTCCTCATTCCCCAGTAAAGATGATATACCACTGCAAAGCACGCGGCTCACTTTATCCATGGAGACTTCGTATTCATTGAGAATCTGTTCAACAGTCAAGCTAATCGATTCAGAAGTAGAATCGGCAGCTGACAATTGACGGAAAGCTAAGAGAACGTTTTGCATCTGAAATGATCGAATTATTGTGAGAAAAGAATGGGTTCTTTTAAACCTCTAATTTAGCTCCAGTGTATCCATGGAATGAAGCGAAAACAGCCAATCGGAGGATAGGATCTTCTTGTTGAGCACTGGGAACCTTCAAAGCTTCAACGAAAATGCAAAGACGTTTCGTTGAAGAGATTTGTTGTTTTATTGTTTGGGAAATCCGATGGTGATACGTAGACATCAACTAAAGGAGAAGCCATGATGATGAATGGAAGGAATAGCTTACTTGTTCCAAAGATTGAATTTCTTCAGGGAAGGAAAACTTGGGCTGGGCGCACTCCATGAATTCTCTCCAGAGTGGGGATTGTAAAGATTCCAAAGGTACATGAGAAGTGACTAGAGCTAAGGCTAATCGAGACTCTAATTCCCGTTGTCTTCTTTCATCTCTTCTCCATTTCTTTGACTGCATGATTTGTCCTGTAGCCGATAACGACAATCCTGCTTGTTGAAGCAGTTGTGAAGCTGCTTGAGCAGGTGTCAAGCCTGCAGTAGAGGTTGGGACTTGTTGATTCATCATCAATTGTAATGGATTGAGACTCAGTATGTTCTGAACCAAATTAGGTACTTGAGAAGTAGCCGATGTTGGTGTTTGTCTCAATGCATTAGCCAGATTACTGTAACATGAAATGAAACGAGAAGTTCTCATAAGCTATTCTTACTTGATGTCAGTGCGTTGTTCTTTCTTGACCTTCGGTTTTTGACTGATGGGCTGGCTAGTTCCAGATGAAGTGGATGATGGAGAGGACGGAACATTTCCACCATGTCTGTCTCTTGTGTAATCAACCTGAAGCTGTTGCTTGCAAGATCTACTCGTCACGACCTGGTTACCTTCAGTTTTTGGAATTCTGCATACTCTGCAGGATGCTTCTTCAAGTGACAAGCTAATGTACTTGTATGAGGACCTTTAAGCATGTATGTACAATCTCCAATGATACATCTGAATACACTTGTTAGTTTGGGCTTGATAAGTTGTCTCGTTTTACCTGCTTAGGTTCTCCGCTTTGTTGTAAACAAAATATTTCCAAACTGGTGTTTGCTTGTTTGTTCCACCACTTCGTATGGCTGCAGCAGGATTTCGGTGCCAACTCCAATCGTCCTGAAGTCTTCTCATCTGAATCTACCCAGTCTACTTCACGTCAAAAACTGATCGCTCCGAATCGATAGTATTATAATCTTACGAATTTAGCAAAAAAATGATTTAGTTTTTTAATTTTCGAAAGTGGCTTATTTCAAGACGGTACACTATCACTTTTGACGAAGCATCCAAAATCTGCTTCGGAAGAGCCAAAAACAGACTGAAACTCACGGCTGTAAACAGCTGAGCAGCAGGGGACTGAGCAACAGCCACGGCTCCGGGAACTGGGGCTGGCGGTGCGGGAGATGGGCTGAGCGACTGTCGTCTTGTAACCGGAGCATCTTCTTGCTGTAAACAGGTAAAATAAGTTTGGAGCTTAAGAGGATTAAAATCTCGATGAGGAAAGTTTGCTTAACGTGAAGGACAACATCTTGTGAGGGTATTATGATACAGAGAGATTTAAAAGAAAAGACATGACCCAGATAGGAAAGTGGATGACGAAAAGAAATGATGATACATCAATGATTCTCAAGTAAATATGAAGACGAAATCCGTCCTTCATCTCTCTCTCTTTCTCACTCATACCGTCACTGTTTCGCTCATAACTGTAAAGAGAAGTTTTCGGGAATTGTTCATCATGATCATCCTGGTACAGACTAGGTCTCTTATCTTACAGCTTTCTGTTGTATATAAAAACAATAGTGCTGTGAGGAGAGATATCAAAGAGAAAGCAAGTTAAGTAGTAATTGAATACAACACGTTTTTTCTACTCCTACTTGTCATTATTTCATTGAATATCGTTCCAAATTACGATATATCTTTTAGTTAGACGTGTCATATTTCCCTTTTCTACCTGCCTATGCAAAGAGTATTGAGATGATACAACTGTATACATAAAAGTACACACAAAATATTATAAAACGACAAATTTTCATGAACGATCGCTTGATCAAATACTAAAATAGGCAAAAAATGAGAAGAAAAGTACTTTCTTCACATGAAAACAAAAGGACGCAACCGTTCATTACTCATCGAACAATGGGTAAATGAGGTGTGAATGAGTCAAGTACAGCCACGCAAATGAATTTACGTGAGCAGCTTTCACGTATCAATTTCGTAAGTTGCGTATTAATTTTGCGCGAAACCGACGAAATTCAAATATGAAGATGTGCTATGATGATTGAATAGATGATATACTTAACCTCATTTTAAGAAACCTTTTAACATAATTTCATATGAAGATTGACCGAAATTCGAGTTTTTCTACTTCAGAGAACAAAAATTTTTTTTTTCTTCTCTCTTCCTCTTCCTCCTTCTCATTCTTCAAATTACCTTAATTATATGCGGGAAATTATTAAAATTTAAAGATTATGGATTATCCCCCTATGGATTAACTGGATGATCACAAAGATTATTCTCATTTTCTTAACGATATGCCGTGTTGAAAAATATTTTTGCTTTTAACTAATTTTCAACTTTCCCACCTTCAATACATTTCCCAATAAGCTTTTGCTTATGAGATCTAACAGATTGCCTGTCATTCCCATTTCAGCATCTTCGTCCTTATCACCGGAACCATTAGATATCTGCAAATATGACGAATGAGGATATAGATGATATCCGATGATGTTTATTACCACACTGCCGTTGCTTGAACGAGCTGAAGATGGGGCTGCTGGTGATTGGCCTTCCTGTGGAGCTTCACCTGTCAAAGGCTGGCCTTCCAACGATCCTGATACAATTGTCGAATCTGATGGCGGACTAACAGATGATTCTATTTCAGCCTTAAATATGAGAAACTATTAAAATTGATTGTACACGATATGATCGACTCACCTCTGTCGGCATTTCAATTCGAAATTTTTTAGCCTCTGGAGGTCCATCAGCTATAGCAGCACTCATGATGATGATGATGAATGTATTTGGAAACTCTTTGTTAATTTCACTTTTTCTTTATTTATAAATTGAAAAAAGAGAAGTTGAAAAAGATTCAAAACTGCTTGAACATCCGTCTGAAAACAAAAAAAATGAAAGAATGAGGGTAAAGTTTAAGATAGAAGTAGAGAGAGAGAGAGGAAGAACATCAATGATATCGTCAGACATTGAAAGATATAAAAATGAAACATAAAATGAGAATATAAAAATGATTTTATGATAAGTTGATCGAGTTGCTCAAAATGTTCAGTAAAAATTGTTAAAATGAAAATATTTTATTTAAAATAATGGAAATGAACAGCTGTAGATGATCCGGGTGATAATCCAGGCTTCATACCATAAAGAGAAAGATAGAAAGAGAACGTTGACTTGTGCAAAAAGTATGTTTGAATTGATTTTGTAGAAAATTTGAATGTTAGCTCAGAAGTGTTATACTTGGGGCATGATAGAGGTAAAGTATCAATAAGCTTTTGATACGTAAGAATCAGAAGACAATGATAGATAGATAGAGAGATAGATGAAATATAGGAGGTAGAGGATGGACAGGGAGGAAAGTATTTAGAAAGATGGGTGATTCGTCTCTATGTATTTACCCTTGAGCCTATGTGTTAGCACAGCAACATGCGCCATCATCATCATCATGACCATACATAGAACTCAAAAAGGAGAGGGGATGAAAGCATGCAAAAACTATCATTTAAGCATAACAATTGATAGAGAGGATAACTTATAACTTAAAGAGAAATAGTTGTTTAAAGAGAGATATGATGAGAGAGAAGGAGGGAGAGAGAGAGAAACAGAGAGAGAGAGAGAGATTGAAGCTGACACGTTTTGATGGGTACGTGGATGAAACGAACAGAGCTATTGATACAGGTAGCATAATGACAAACTGAAGTGAAAAGAGCCAGCATGAAACATACCTATATATGGATATATATCTATCTCTATGGATATTATATATAAATACATATTTTTATATATTTTTTCATTAAATTAAGTATATTTTATTCAAATCTCAAAAAGAAATCAAAATAGGACAACGAAAAAGCGCCAGATTAGCTTGCAGTCCAAAAACGTTTTTTCTTCTTCTGCTTCTTCTTCTTCTCTCTCTCTCAATCTCCTCCCTCTCCTCTCGTCACTATCATTATCATCATCACCATCATTTTCTGCTTATTTTCATTTTTTTCAAAAAAAAAATTTTTTTTTTTTCAATAAAACTTTTGACAGAGAAGGAAGCAGAAGAAGAAGGTGGGCTATGAAAGTAAATTTCTTAACAGGTTTTCATGTGGGAGAGATGGATTATCAAGAGAAATCCCATCTAATTTATTAAAGTTGGTTATGGTAGTTGTTAAGCTTCTAAACGACAACAAAGATATCCATGCGAAGCTTGTGAACTTGAATACAATCAAGTTAGACAAAAACAGTTTTGATGAATGAAGCTTGAGCTTTATGTGGAAAGCTTTTCACAGCAAAAGTTTTATGCTAATTATAATAAATGAGATATAAAAGGTAAATATGGATGGTTAAGAAGGTAGTTTTAGGGAACTAAATAGATGGATTGGAAACAAATGAATCTTAAGAGGGTGGAATGTTGAACAACAGCCCCAAATAAGGTAAAGATGAGCGGAAGTGGCCAAAAGAGGAGGACGAATACTGTGTGTTGAGGGGTGGATGAGGTCGTGAAGTTGGAAGAGAGGAAAAGACATCACACCCATGGCTCATGTAAAAAGGAAAGAGTTTTAATAAAACAGTAAAAGACGAATAGATGAAAAGAAAGAAAAGGATTTCATTGGGTCAGACTGGCACAATCTACTACCGACGTACACTTGATGATGACTACTCCAAATATGGAGAAGAAAAGTATGTGAACGAGGTGCGATATCGTTGCAAAAGCATCTGCTAAAAAAGGAATTCACAAATGAGATCGAAATATAATGGTAATGAGAGAGATTCAGATGACAAAAGATGAAGAGAAAAAAGAAAGAGGAAAATGTCTGGTTACTAGTTGAGGGTCAGTTGGTATCGAGAAGGATGAGGAGAAACTGAAAAAGCCGACGTTTGATGCGACAAAACGATATGAGTGTGTTATGGCTGTTCATTTGCTTGATCACCGAAATAGAGAGAGAGAGAGAGAGAGAGAGAGATAGAGAGAGAGAGAGAGGGATAGAGATTGATAGAGTGAATGAGGTGAGAGGAGGGGAGTAGAATGGAAGAGGTTGAGAGGGAGTGAATATGAAAACTAGGAGTGAGACTGAGAATAAGCGAATTGAACTGAATCTCAGACAGTGACAGACTGACCAACAAGTTAAGATGTTGAGAAGTAGCTTATATGCATGAAGGAGAGGTAAAGAAGGCAAAAGCTGAACTAACCCCACCGGAGGCTATAAAGGAGCAATGTAAATTATAATAGTTTATATGAAAAATAAACAAAAAAAAGACAAAAAAAAAAAAGAAAGAAAAATATCAAAAAAAACATGAAAAGAGAGTGAGATAGAGAGAGAGAGAGAAAGATGGAGGGAGAGAGAGATAGTTATCTGAGTAGGTTATATGAAGTAAGATGACCTAGTAAGTTATATAATGAGGTGAGAAATATAAAAATATATAATAATAATTAGTTAAAATTTTCAAAATCAACTCATATTACAGTAACTATAATTAGTATAATATATGTATTTGATTAATAATATTATATTATATGTAGTGTGAAGGAGAGAGGAGAAGGAGGAGATGAGAGAGTTAAGGCGACACAAACAGATGAGCCATGCAATGTGATTATCATTTATCATTTGGCTGTTTTGGGTTAGAGGTTTCAAAGTGCCGTTGGAAATCTTTTTTTTTCTTTCCATTTCTCTTCTATCGTTCCTCTCCTTCATGTTTTTTGCTGTTTCTTGCAAAGCTCACACACTCACACGCATACTCACACCATCATACATACCCATACATGCACATACACAGATTGTTCTTGTCTCTCATAGTTTGACTTGACTTATTAGGAGTGAGAAAGAGAAAGAGAGATGTATCTTCTACAGCTTCATCTATTCATTCTTCGAGGAGGAATATCTTCATTTCATCAGATGCTTTAGATTTCAGTAAGATTATCCATTTGAAGATCAGAAACACAAGTAGAAAAACTTGAAAAGATAAACAAGATAAGTGAATAGGTTCATTATGCTAATTATACCAACCGTTCCGTACGCCTCCCCATCAGTTAAACTGAATGGATATGTTGACGTGGGTAAGACACGTATACTGTAATATGCCAATGACACGAGAGAGCATTAGCATATTACTTGGATGTTGTTGTATGGGATATGCTCATGTGTAGGATGATTTGAGTAAGATAAGTGATTTTCATGAAAATTTTTCCAAAAAGTATTTATAATAATGAGCTGATAAAGCGTTGAAAAGTTGGAAAATGATTGTTTAGTAGCCCAAATTCGTGGTTCAACAACACAATAGACAGGATGGATTGAAATGATGAAGAGTACTTGAGTAGGCGGTCCGGTTGAGACGAGGACTCTATGCCCTGAGGGCATAAGAGTAGCTTCTGATAGTTCAGCTGGTTTGAGAATAGAACGGGGCGAGAAGAGAAGAAGAAGGAATGATGGGGTTTTTCTTTTTTTTTCTGTTCTTCAGTGGTAAAATTAGTGGATGTAGAAATGTGTAAGAGAATGAAGAGATGGAAGAGATAGGTTAACTCTTCAAAGACTGAACTAGGCTGAATAGAAAGAGAGAGAGGGAGGGAATAGAGAATGAATGAAGATGAAGTGGTGAGGAGAGAAGAGTATGAGGTATGAAAGGGTTACGAAGGAGATAATTGATAATTTTCACGAATAGGCGAGTATCACCAGCAAATTGTTTAAAATGAAACTTCTGAGGAAGTTGAAGAAGGCAGACATCTATCGTAAGGATATATTAATCCCCTGAGGCGAGGACAATTAGGTAAAATAAATCAGAAGGCATTGAGAGGTTGTGGCGATTTGTTGTTGTTGGTAAGAAGGTAATTTAGAGCTTCAAGAAAGGCAAGACACATTTTTTGGAGAAAAGAGAAAAAAAGCAAAAAGATTGTTGTGCAAATGATGATTCTTGTTTAAAAATGAAGGAAAGCGAGGGGCATGTTAGGGGGGTGGTGGAAGGCGAAAAACGGAAGAGGAGTGTGGTGGTGGAAGAAAACGGGGAGAAGGAGCGAGGAGGGGGGGGGGGGGGGGGGGGGGGGGAGGAAAAAGCTTTTTTACCACCACACGCGAAGG